ACTGCTAGAGTTTATACCCTATTAAGTACCCAGATTTTTTTTTTTTAAACAGAGTCTTGCTCTGTCGCCCAGGCGGGTGTGCAGTGGCATGATCTCAGCTCACTGCAACCTCTGCCTCCTGGGTTCGAGTGATTTTCCTGCCTCAGCCTCCCAAGTAGCTGGAATTACAGATTACAGCCACATGCCACCATTCCCGGCTAATTTTTGTATTTTTAGTAGAGACGAGTTTTCACCAAGTTGGCCAGGCTGGTTTTGAACTCCTGATATCAAGTGATCCACCCACCTCGGCCTCCCAAAGTGCTGGGATTATAGGCGTGAGCCAGCACATCCGGCCTTTTTAAAAAAAACTCATCAATTTGGGATAAAACTTTCCAAAATGTATTGAATGATGGTTCTACATCAAGAAATCTATTACTACTGTTCACCATATTAATAGAACAAAAGAGAATAATTATGTCATCGTATTCTTGGATGATGAAAAGGCATTAAACATCCAACATTCATTTTTTATTTAAAAAACATGATACTGTAAAACTGACTTATTTGATGTACAATTCTTTGAATTTTAACACACATCTAGACTGACAGAACCACTACATAGTCAAGATAAAGAACAGTTTCATCATCTCCCTCCCTCCCTCACCTCCATCATTTTGAAGTCAAATTTGGTGTTATCCCTTTGTACTCATACCCTGCCCTCACCTGTAACTCCTGGCAACCACTGATCTTTTCCCCATTACTGTAGCTTTGTCTGTGTGAGAATGCCATCTAAGTTGAATCATACAATAACATGTAACTTTTTAAGACTAGCTTCTTTCATCCAACATAAGTCCTTTGATTCTCATACAAGTTGTGTGAATCAATAGTTTCCTTTCATTACTAACAGTATTCCTTTGTAGGGATACATCATACTTTATCAATTAAGGACATCTGGGTCATTAACAGTTTTTTATAATTATGAATAGAGCTACTAAAACACTATGCACAGGTTTTTGTATGAGCCATTCATTTCTCTAGGGTTAATAACAAGGAGTGGAATTGCAGGGTCATATGATAATTTAACTTTATAAGAAACTGCAAAACTGTTTTTTCAGAATGGCTCTCCTATTTTGCATTCCCACAAGCAATGCAGCAGTTCCAGTTGCTACACATCCTTGCCAGGACTTGGTAATTTCAGTATTTTTGTTTTAGCTATTTTAATAGATGTGTAGTGATATCTCTCCATCCTTTTAATTTGCATTTCCCTAATGACTAATTATATTGAATATCTTCTCATGTGTTAATTTGCCAACTGTATATTATCTTTGGTGAAATGTCTGTTCAAGATTTTGGCTCATTTTTTAATTAGGTTGTCTTCTCACTGTAGAGTTTTAAGAGTTCTTTACACATTCTTTATATGGAATCCTTTATTAAACTTTATCGTATTCACAAATATTCTCCCAAACTATTGCCTATTCATTCTCTTGACAGTGTCTTTTGCAGAACAAAAGTTTTTCATTTTGAAGTCAAATTTGCCATTTTTTATCTTCTGTGGATTATGTTTAAGGTGTCTAAGAATTCTTTGCATAACCTTATCACAAAGACTTTCTCCTGTGTTCTAAAAGTTTTATAGTTTTATGTTTTACTTTTAGATCTACGATTCATTTTATGTTAATATTTGTATGAGGTGTGATATGGTTTGGCTGTGTCCCCACCCAAATCTCATCTTGAATTGTAGCTCCCATAATTCCCACATGTTCTGGGAGGGACCAGTGGGAGAAAACTGAATCATGGGGGTGGTTTCCCTTACACTGTCCTCCTGGTATTGAATAGGTCTCACAAGAGCTGGTTTTATAAGGGGAATCCCATTTCACTTGGCTCTCATTCTCTCGTCTGCTGCCATGTAAGACATGCCTTTTGCTTTCCGCCATGATCGTGAAGCCTCCCCAGCCACATGGAATTGTAGGTCCATTAAATCTTTTTCACTGGCCAGGCACGGTGGCTCATGCCTGTAATCCCAGCACTTTGGGAGGCCGAGGTGGGCAGATCACGAGGTCAAGAGATCGAGACCAGTCTGGCCAACATGGTGAAACCCCGTCTCTACTAAAAATACAAAAATTAGTTGGGTGTGGTGGCACACGCCTGTAGTCCCAGCTACTTGGGAGACTGAGGCAGGAGAATCACTTGAACCCAGGAGGCAGAGGTTGCAGTGAGCTGAGCTCACGGCATTGCACTCCAGCCTGGATGACAGAGCAAGAATCCATCTCAAAACACACACAACCTCTTTTTCGTTATAAATTACCCAGTCTCGGGTATGTCTTTAAAACAGACTAATACAAGGTGAGAGAATTAGGTTGAGGCTCATTTATTTTGCATATGGATGTCCCATAGTTTCAACATCATTTGTTGCAAAAGCATCAGATGCATTCCTTTCTTCACAAACTTGCCTTTGCACCTTATGCTCCCACCTCTTCTATTTTACTGGAATAGATTGCGTAGAATCAGCGTTATTTCTTTTAATGTTTGGTGGAATTTACCCATGAAACCATCTGTGACTAGAGATTTCTATTTCAAAAGTTGTTTAAATAAGAATTTAATTTCTTTAATAGTTATAGGACTATTTTGGATATTTATTTCTTGAGTGGGTTTTGGTAGTTTGTGACGTTGGGAGAGGCAATCCACCATCCTTTTGCATCCCTGCATGTTCCTAATGGGTAGACCAAGAATAAAAGGCTCTAACTACTCTTTATCTAGGCCATGTCTCAAGGTTGTGTATATAGTGAGCAGGATGAGGAAATGTTTCCACCTTGACAAAGAGCCAGTTATAAAGGCGATAAACTGTCTAGGTTCAGTGTCCCTTTGGTACAACACAAATCCACTGAATGTGGAATATTCATGTAGTTCTGCCTGTATTGCCTCCATAAACTTCAGATATATGATAACCAATGTAAACCAACATGAAGCTCATGGTGCTTGCTGTAATAGTTTTAACTAGTTAGCTTGTAAGTATGGTAAAATCTCAGACCTTTTATAGTTCTTGCCATTTAGTCTTCAGAGAATTGGTTATTTCATCTAAATTGCCATATTTATGCTAGTAGAGAATTTTTTTTGTAGTATTTTCTTACTGTTCTGTTAATGTCTGCAGTCTGGTATCTCCTTTTATTCCTGATATTAGTAATTTGTGTCTTTTTTGTTTTGTCAGTCTTGCTAGAGGCTTGTAAATTTTACTAATCTTTTCAAAGAATGAGCTTTTGGTTTCGTTAATTTTTCTCTATGGCTTTTCTGTAATCAAATTCATTGATACCTGCTCTTTATTATTTCCTTGTTTCTGCTTGCTTTGGAGTTTTCATTTTTAAGTTGAAGGGGCAACAATTAGAGGTAAAAAATGGAATAGAAAAATAAAAATGATGATTGTTTGCAGATAATATGGTTGTTTACCTAGAAAACACAAGAGAACCAACCAGAAATTTATTACAACTGTTAGAAGAATTCAGTTAGGTGACTGGGAACAAAATTAGAATACAGAAATCAACAGTTTTCATGCATAAAACAAAAGCCATATGCAACATATAGTGAAAGAAAAAACACTAACATATTCATGAGTATCAAGAAATGTACAAGAGCTATATAAAGAAGTCTTTAAAAGGTGATTGAGAAACACATACTTCTGATTACTTAATATATAAGTATATATAATATATATTATATATGTATCTAATTATAAGTATTAAAAAATCAAAAAGGCATTTCATACTAGTTTCTTGGATCACTATGGGAAAACCTAGTTTCAGACAGTTGATACTGATAATATGCTTGGCTGAGGAATCAATGGCATGCTACCACCTGTGGGTTCAACACTCAACATGTTAAGAAAGTCAAATTTCCCTAAATTGCTATGGAAATTTAATTCATTCCACTAAGAATACTAAATTTGACGTTTTTCTTTTGAAAATCAGAAAAATTGATTTCAAAGTTTATATAAAAAATGAGCAAGACTAATTGGAAAATTACAAAAAACAAAAACATTTAACAGAAAATTATCCCTACCAGAGAGTACGGCAATTTTAAGACTACAATAATTGAAACAGTGTGGTACCAGATCAACAGTTCATCAGATAACCTTAAAAGTCCAGAAATCAATTAGCAACAAATCAGTAAATAAAAGATGGATTATACAATATATGATATCGCAGTAAGTGAGCAACTATCTGAAAAAAATTAAGTTGGATCTCTAGTTCATATTTTAACAGCAAAATAAATTCCAGGTGGATGAAAAAACTTGAACATAAAAAATAAATCCATAAAACCACTAGATGAAAATACAAGGCATTTAAACATAATCTCAAAGAGCTAAGGCTTTTCTACCTGTGAAACAGGTAGAACACAGAAGAAAAAAAATAAAAGACTGATAATTCCACTTGCATTAAAAACTCTACAAGAAAAAGATACCATTAAAAAAGGAAAAAGAAAAATGACAAATTGAGAAACATAGTTTAAACTCATATCACAAATGACCAATTTCTGTTATAAAGAGTTTTAACAAATCAATAAGAAAAAGACAACCAAACCAATAAAAAAGTGGGAAAAATATGTTAACAGATCATAGAACTGGAAAGAAAATGGTTTTAAAACATATAAATTAATAAGAGAAATGCAAATTAAAACTATAATGAATAAAAGTTATTTATCAGATTGATATCTAGTACAATCCATGGAAAACAAAAACAACAGAAAATTACGTTGTACTCTCTGGTTAAGGGATAATTTTCTGTTAAGTGTTTTTGTTTTGCATGGATAATCAGGATATTTGCAATGGCTTGTGACATGAACTGCCTAAAGTTAAGCCAAACTTCACAAGTTAAGGGCCCAGTCCTCCATGACTGCCCTCACTTCAGAAACTAGCAGCTTTGGGCATTCCCAGGGCCATCATTACTTCTGACCAACTGGCTGCAAGTTCAGGGGTTCCCACAATACCTTCAGGTTAGATAATTAAATAGAACAACTCACAGAACTCAGCAAAGTGCTATGCATACAATTATAGTTTATTATAGCAAAAGGATACAGATCAGAACAGCCAAAAGAAGACATATATAGAGCAAGGAGTAGGAGAATCCCAAATACAGTTTCTGTGTTCTCAGGGACATGTCACCCTCCTAGAACACACCAGAGTATTGCCGACCAGGAAAGTTCACTTGAGTGTCACTGACCAGAGCTTCTCTCGGGGTTTCATTACAGGCATGATTGATTGACTCAATCTCTATACAAAGCTGAACTCAATCTCTAACCCCTCTCTCCACCTCAGATGTTGGGCTAATATCATATGACTCAAAACTCCAACCCTCTAATCTGATGGTTGGTCTTCTGGTATGGCCAGCCCCTATCTGAGTCATCTTGTTAGAAAAACTATCAGAGAGCTTACTATGAATAACAAAGATACTTCTATCACCTAGAAAATCCCAAGGATCTAGACCTGGAACCTGGAGTGGAGGCATTTTGGGAGCAGGGGAGGAAGCCTTGGCAAATACTTGATTACAGTCTTAATTTCAGCCTTGTCTGTATTAGCAAAAGGCTGGAAACCAGCAATGTGCAGTAACAGAACTGATTCTCTGCAAAAATCAAAGTACATCCATATAATGGAGTTCTAGGCAATCGGTGAAAAAAATGGGACAACTGTAGGTAGGACTACAGAATTGCTGAATGTACAAAAGTCTGAATGGTATGCTATAAATTGTGTTTCATATATGTTTATATGTGCATGGGGCCATTTCTAGAAAGATAACTGGTAACAGAGATTAGATCCAGGGAAGGGAAATGAATGAGAGAACTTCTTTTTCCCACCTTTTTCAACTTTCTGATTTTTGTACAATGTGTATATATTACCTGTTTAACAAGAAGAAAACATTACAAGGTTTTCGCATACTTCTTTGAGGCTACTGAACATAATTTATAACTTAATATCTTCTTGATTATGATCAGTCACTGTCATGAATATATTGAACAACAAATCTCTTAAGAGTCTACTGAGATACACAACACAGGGTTTGCTTTCACCTACACTAAATGACCCCAGGCTGCTGTAATTTGAGTGTTACTGTCATTTCTAGTTTTCCTATCTTTTCCCAGCTGCTTCTGACTACTGTCAACATTCCCTCCTCTAGCTGACTAGAAACTTCTCTTTTAAATTAGTGCTTCTAGTTGTGGCAGGCCAAGAAACCAGACACATGGTCCTATTACAGGACTACATAAAATAAAGAGAAACTGCCTCTGTGAGAACTTGAGAAATACTCTCATAATTCATGTTTTATAACAACTACTTGACTAGTCAAGATTTTTACACACTACCAAATTCCATACAATTGAACAAAGAATAGGCAAGGCATTATTGAAGTCACTATAGGAGCTTCTATTATATAATTAATACTACACTGGTAAGTTCAGATTTGGAACTTTTCAGCATTGCCTTCATTCATTCACTCAAAAATATTTTTGAGCATCTAGTATGCACCAGGGAGTGTCCTAGTATTAGGCATACAGCAATGAACAATAGAGACAAACTCACTTAAAATTTATATTCTAATTTGAGAGATGACAAAGATAAACCAGCTAAGTACAATAAACAAAAAAAGGGATAATATGATAGAACTAGGATGGGGGAATAGCATTAGATAGGATTGCATGTTAATCAGGGTCTGATCAGAAAAGAACCACTAGGATCTAATACACATACACGTATCTTAATATTCAAAATAAGGGACTTTTATAGCGATTATAGGAGGTAGTTTCTTTTGTGTCTGGCAGTTGAAAAGGGAAGACAAGGGAAATGGGGGAAGCAAGGAACTTGCTAGGATGAGTAGAACCTGTGGGAATTGAGTGGAACTTGTGAGGATGGACGGGAAGCCATACAGGTCTCTCACTGCCTCTAATCCTCCAGTGTGAATGATGGAGTTGTCCAGCGGAAGCTGGCACCCTTTGTCAGAGTAAAGCGCACACCTGGCCCAGGAGCCAGAGAAGCTGAAGGAGGTGTTCCAGCAGGAACTGGTGTTCCTGTGGGCCTGGCTGTTGTCCCACAGGCCAAGATGAGCCAACAGATAAGCAATAATGTGGATAAGCTGCAACAGTGTCTTGTGCCTTGTCTGGTCCTTCCACTTATAAAAAGAATCCAGATCTGGCTGCTACTTTACTTCTGCCTTCTATATCTTGTATCAAACATTTCTTATGGCCTACATTGTCCGGAAATTATGCACGGAAGAGAATTCTGCGGAACCTATCTCCAGGTTGACTAAACTGTACCATATAAATCCACCACAGATGATGTGAGTTCTCTAAAAGACATCTGAGCTGAGAACCTGAAGGATGAGGATTCAGCCATGCAACCATGCCAAGATTTGGAAGAGAATGTCCCCGGCAGAGAAGATGGCTAGTGCCAAGTATCTGAGGCTGTGATATAAGCTAGATCTTTTTTTGATGAAGGACAATGAGGCTGGGATATGTGTGTGAGAGTGGTACAAATTAAGAGATAACCAGATCCTATGGGCCTTGCAGAACATAGTAATGAGCGAGGACTTCTTTTCCTAAGTGCAGTGAGAGGCACATGGAGGGTTTTTGTCAGGGAAGCAGTAGTTTGATCTGATTTATATGATTTATAAACTTTGTAAAATAATTTCAAACTTACAAAAAAGTTATAAGATTAGCACAAAGAATTTCTGTATGCTCATCATCCAGATTATTTCCATTTTTAAGAGATTGTTTTGGCTACATTGTGGAGAATGGCCCTAGTGGGCAGGACCACTTCTTTCCTCCCCGCAAAGGCTTCATGGCACTCCTACAGCACAACACATATGATGCCCCTGGAGCTGTGCAGAAGGCTGTCCAAGTGTGGAGGTCGTAATATTACATAGAGAGCTATTGCAAGAGATCAAGCTACGGTGCTTCTACCACACTACTTTCAGATCACAGAGGAAAACCAATCTCATTATTTTAGTCTCAATTCACAAATACACGTTGGAATAAAAAACAGTATTACCTCTTCAGATCTGGCTACTTCTAACAATCATATCAATCCTCAAAACAAACAAAAAACAACTTCGGTGATTTGACACCACAGCAGCTATTTAAGAAAATGTTTCACAGATAATTCCAGATTTCCAAATTCCAAAGAACATGCAGTCTCCTAGAAGAAACATGCTGAAGGAGCCCATGTTCATGTTGATAGATAGGTTCTAGTCTCATTATTTTAGAGATGATCTCAGATTTGTGTATCTCTTATGTTCATCAGATGTGACTTACTTTACTGGAGATCATAAATAATTACCCTAAAGCAAGCTCTTCTGCCTAGATTAACTCTCCTGCTAGTAATACTGTCTAGCTAACAGCCAGGTTCAAATACTGAAGTGTGCTGAGGTCTTACAGATATTCAAGCTCATGTTCTGATTTTAGCACAATTCTAGTTTTAACATTCAAATCAATAGCGAAAATTATGATGGATAGCAATTCATTCTCACTAAAACACAGCTAATACGTGTTCCTTAAATCATGAAGGTAAAATGGAAAAACTAAATAGTTTGGTGACCTTTGAGAAATCATTTATTCTCCCTTATACTCAGTTAAATGGGAGTCTGGTTATTACAATAGAGATTAGTAATAATCAAGGTAAAATGCTTGGTAAAATGCATCACCGTAGGCACCCATCTTATTATACACACATCAATAAAAATAAACATCTATTTTTTAAGGGAAGAAAAGAAATGCTTCTTAATAAAGCTCTGGATGAACCATTTATCTTCTTTCAAAAAACATAAAAACACATAAAAAAGCATTATCTGACAAAGGAAAGTAGAAAAGATTTCTATCTTTAATTAGAGGTTGCAGTATACACTTAACTTCTGTAAGCTGCAGTGATGAATCTCCGTGTAAACATTCAGAAAAGGAGGGGATACTGTGTCATGACTTATGAACTATAAATTACCAGTCAAGATTACTAGTCAAGAACAGTTTTATACATTAACAACTACTTTCCTCCGCTTAACAATGGCTCTTGAATAACAAAATAAATTATCAGCAATTCCAACCACAAATTTAAGAATTAAAGTTTAAAAAACTGGTTTCATAAACGCAAGCAGAGTAATAAATTTCATATATGTTAATTGCAGTTACTTATGTTCTTTGAGTGAAATAACACAAAGATTTTTCCTTCCCCTTTTGGCAAGTTCACAAAATTTATGAAAAGGCTTCACCTTTTTCTTTTTTGCTTAATTTCTTTTTTGCATCTCAGCTGAACACAACAGACAATAGCTGGGGTTATTAGGGAGACATGATAAAAGAAAAGGTTATGACCACTCAGACGATCATGTATACCTAAAACGTAACTCAGACTTTCTAGTCTTAACCTGTAGCTCTAATTTACTAAATGATCTACAAAGAACTAAAAGAGATATGATTTAATGAGCAGGCTGAATTTTGTAACTTTGTCACTTTGGGTCACAAACACATATTCTGCCCTGAAAGTGAGGCAGAATACTAGTCATTCCCAGTGAGACTAGGTACAAGGGAAAAAAAAAAACAAAGCCATAGATATTTTTAAGTTGCACTACATTATTTTAACTACTTAATTAAAAAATTTAACTACCAGATCAGTGCACTGTTTCTTGCTTAAACACACAGTAAGTAGATAAAAAATATTTTTAAAATAAGCCAGAAGTAAAAAGGAAAAGGCCTGAACAGCTTGACAAACAGCAACAGAATAATTTCCAATCAGTGACTATTAATGGGAATACTCATTTTATACAGCGATTATCGACAACCATTTAGCAATTCTTTAATCAGGCACTTGATATTTTTTTAGCTAGCATACTCAATACTGGGGCATCACACACACACACAAATATGGCTTTATTACAAAGGATTCAAGATGGCAACTACTTAGAATCCAGTGCCAACACGGATTATAACAAATCCAGTGAGTGTTTTGTTTTTCAATTATTCATAGAAAATTTAATCCTGATTAAGTATCCTTGGGCAGGAATTCATGGGTAGTTGATGACTGAAACCAACATTTATATGAAATGCTTCTGTTAATTTAATCTGTGTATACGGCTTAATTATGATTGGGGATTCAATGTAAGAGAAATGAATTCTATTGGGATCAAAATTTCAGTACCGTATCACGTAGTACCTTTTCCCTTCTTTCTTTTTAACCACATAAACCTGCTTGTCCCTTCACCTAAGTGCTCAGATTTTAAAATCCTTTGTCTTTACAACTCGTGTAATGTATTTAAGTTTTATTTTTTCATAAACTGTTTGTCAAAAACCTTTGCTAATCAAGCTAAAACCTGAACTAGAGCCAAAAATGGCAGAAAAAAATTGGAGACTAACTCCACCCACAAATAAACAAAAGCCTAGTCATTTAACTGTGAACATATTTTATATTCATTTCCTGAAGTAATTTCAATTCCTTTAAACTCAAATATGAAATGCATTTCCTTAAAGCATAAAAAGCAGCAGTTTTTAAAATCAATGTATTACACTGATTTCATAACTGGACTAGTTTAGATATTTATAAGCAAGTAATCATTTAACTGATTACTTTTTATAAGACTATTAAACCTGAGTTAGCTATTAAGATGAGGCATTATAAGTGGTGAATATTTTACCAAAATAGCATATAGTTATTTTTCACATTTATTTCCATATAGAAATTGCTTCAATCATTTTATAACAACACTTTCTTCAAAGTTTGTTGTTTAAGTATATTTCAAAACATTTCATTTATTACCTTTTTTTCAGTCTTGGTACTGCTTAAATGCAGTTATATAAATAACGTGCTCTGCTTTCGCTGTTCCAAGTTTTCATACTAAATGTATGAAAAAAAAGTAACTGTATTTGGATCCTTATTGCACTCTTTTAAACCAATTCACTTTTCCTCTCAACAAAAATCAAGTATCAGAAATGAGGGCGACTTTTGTGTCCAGATGATATGGTCAGTGGTAGTGTTACTGAAGAAAGTGAAGAAACTTCCCAATATAGACTGTGAGATAGAAAGAGTCTGTAGAGAATAACCATGGAAACAGACTGGCAAAGGATAACACCTATTGTAATAACCTGAAAAGAAAAAGAAAGGAATGCTTTTACTGCATGCAGAAACAGAGAAATAATACTCAATTTCTCATGAATCTATATATGCTTTTTATATAAATACAATACTCTATCTTTCATCTTTACCATAGGTACATTTTATCAAAAAAAATTTCTGACTAATGCTCTAATTGTTTAAGGATAAAAAATCCCTTTAACAGTTATTTTGTAGATGAAAAAGTAAGGCACAAAAGAATAACTTGCTAAACCATTCTCTCCCAAGGGTATGCACTACAGACAAGAGTTTCAGTAAATAAGAAAAATCAGGTTCCTAGCTAATTTAGTAATAGGAATAAAGCATGCTCCTACCTGAACTTTAAAGAGTACTCTAAAAGCCCTTTCAAAAACTCTCAAGTTGCTTCTCTATTTTTGTAGACTACTGTCCTATCTATTCACCCTTTGTAAATACCTCAGGCTCAATAAACATTTGTGCATTCAGGCACATACTGCATTGCTTGTAAAGGGCTCCTGGCAGACCTCTATTTTGAAACGATGGAGCCATTCACCTAAGAAGGTAGGTATCAACACAATCAAAATGCATCATACTTCAGCATGGCACTCTGGTTTGTAGTCTGTTAAAGCAACTAGACTGATTTTTACAAATCTTGATTTTTACTATTATGTAACAAAAAATTTTAATCATTTTTTAAAAGATGCATTATAAATTATTTAATTTATAAAACAAAATTTCTATTTTAAAATTCTCTATTGCCGTTTCTAAAATAAGCTAAAATAGAATCAAGAAAACCTATTTCCACCATTTTGCTTATAAATATTTTGAAAATATTTTAAACTTCAAATTTATCTACTTACTGGTTTACTACTTTGTTTCAAAGTTTTAAATAACCCAGAAAATGTCTTAAAAAATAAACAGGCCCCACCTATTTAAATATTCTCCCAATTAAGACAATATTTTCATTAAAAAAAACTACTTTCATCATGTATATTTCTTACCTTGTCTCTTTGGTAGTCGCTAAAAATGACAGAAATGCATGCAAGAACCGGATGGCATAAAAACCACAAGATACAGCCCTGAAACAAATGAAAAAGTGAAATAAGTACAGCTGTGTTTTTTTTTTTTTTTTCCAGAATGTACCATATAAAAAATGTTACTAGCATATTTAGGTCCTGATTAACCTCAACAGGCCTTTAGAGTAGAGCTTGTAATAAAATGTAGAAATAAATTTACTGTTGCTATGACATTAGTATTTTGTTTCTAACCAAATGAGTATTTTTGGAGTATTTATAATCTTATGTTTATAAATCTGCTGCATACACATTTTGATACACTACAAATTATTAATATAACAAATTATTAAGTGACAAAAGCAAGGCACAAATGTGTAATATTCCTGTAAAAAGAAAAAATAATGTACATTCATATTTGCATGCTGATACACAAAGAAATTCTGTAAAAATACACAAAAAACATTAATAGTTGTTACCTGTTTGAGGGGTAGAACAGAGGAGGGGGAGCTGGGCAGGTAAGAATGGGTAACTGTTTATACTTTTCAAATATTTTTCTATTTTTCCTTGAACCAGGGGAGCTGGGTAGGTAAGAATGGGTAACTGTTTATACTTTTCAAATATTTTTCTATTTTTCCTTGAACCGGGGGAGCTGGGCAGGTAAGAATGGGTAACTGTTTATACTTTTCAAATATTTTTCTATTTTTCCTTGAACTATGGCAATGTATTCTCTTTCCCAAAATTAAATTTGAAATAAAAAAATAAGTTAGTAAATAGTAGCTGTTGAAATGTTTGGTACACTGAAGATATAGGAAGAAAAAAACAAGATATAGAAAAATGTTTCATATGTTACTATTTGTATAAAACTGAAGGGAAATATATATAGGCATATATACTTAAAACTCTCTAGAAGGATAAATTAAGAACTAATAGTAGCAATTGTGTGAGGAGGTGAGAATAACTTTTTGCTACTCCTTACTTTTGGATGTTTGACCCTATTCAGAAAGTTAAATTAAAACACAAAATACTTTAAAATTTGCACTGCTTTAAGCATAAAGCAAAATAAGAGGCCGGGCATGGTGGCTCACGCCTGTAATCCCAGCACTTTGGGAGGCCAAGGCAGAAGGTTCACAAGGTCAGGAGATCGAGACCATCCTGGCTAACAAGGTGAAACCCCGTCTCTACTAAAAATACAAAAACTTAGCCGGGCATGGCGGCATGCGCCTATAGTCCCAGCTACTTGGGAGGCTGAGGCAGGAGAATGGCGTGAACCCGGGAGGCGGAGCTTGCAGTGAGCCGAGATGGCGCCACTGCACTCCAGCCTGGACGATAGAGCGAGACTCCGTCTCAAAAACAACAGCAATAATGACAAAAAGCAAAATAAAAAACCTTAATGCCTAAACACCTCAAATATATATTAACTTATCAAACAATAAGCACTACTGTCCCTGTGAAAAACTAAAAGGCAGGATGACATCTTCTTGTCTTATGCTCAGAAGCCTGAAGTTGGTTCCTAGGGCTGCAGCAGCAGCTTTGCAATGCTCAACACTAGGAATAAAGCAGGAATCTGGCTCTCCTTCCATAGCTGCCTTAGAATAACAGTCAATAACTCTGGACAAGATGGGCTGACTGAACAGAATCAGTCTGATCAGAATGCTGGTTTGAGGAGCTAAAATGAAGGGGTATGGATTCTCTCAATCTGACAGAAAAATGAAACCTTCTAGGGAGGGAGGGTTCTATAATGTTACTGCTCTAACCCTTCTCCTGTATAGAAAAAAACCGAATTTGCTTTTAGATCTCACTAGCAGAAGAAGGACAAGAAAGGAGGAATAAAGTGACAGGATCTCATGTGGATGGAGTGAGGCTGGCTGAAACATGAACCCAGCCTCCTGGCTCCAGCTGCTTATGCTGAAGGATAGCTCCTAACAGTTTGTTATAAAACATTGTATAACTCTGAGAATAACAGATTATAGTCAATTAATAAGTGTTGAGAAATCCAAAGCATATTTGATTTTAAAAATTTAAAATTATATTACAGAAAAAAATGCAAAATCCCTATTGACGAAAATACGAACCAGGCAAAACTGACCTGCAAAGAGTATATGGAAAGTACTGTCTCACAGGTCTTGTAAAATGGGGATAATACCTACATCACATAAGTTGCTAAGGTTAAATGAGTTGAACCACATAGAGAACTTATGGTAGTGTCTGTCACATAATAGTTGTTTTTTTTTTACAAAAAAAAAAAAAAAAAAACAAGGTCTCGCCTTGTCACCCAGGCTGGAGTGCAGTGGCCCAATCTTGGCTCACTGAAGCCTTCAACACACAGGCTCAAGCAATCCTCCCATCTCAGCCTCTCGAGTAGCTGAGACAACAGGTGCTCACCACAGAGCCTGGCTAATATTAATTTTTTGTAGAGATGGGATCTATGTTGCCCAGGCTGGTTTCCAACTTGCGGGCTCAAGCGATCCGCCTGTCTCGGCCTCCCAAAGCACTGGGATTACAGGAGTGAGCCACTGTGCTCGGCCCAGAAGTTTAATAAAAGTTAGCATGTAGTTGTTTATTAACTTCCCAAAGAAACCAGAATGAAGTGGATAATCAGAATAAACCATTTTCTTTCCAAACCCATACTTTGGCAAATGTGATGTAGAACTCCCTTTTGAGTGTACTTCTCTCCACTGTGATGATCTGATAGAGTCCACAGCCTAATGACAATGCTAGGCAAATTCTTAGGACGATTAGGAGGATCCCTGCTAAGTTGTGGTGTGAATGGTAGCTATGATGACTGGTATCTTCAAACTGTTCCCAAAGTAGCAAAACACTCTGCAAAAGAAAAACAATATTACGTTTAGGAAAAAAAAGATTACACCTAATTAAATATTTTTTTCAACTCTTTAATAAACATCCCTTTAAATGTTATATAAACATTCCTATCAGACCATAGAGGTTGTTAATGAATAAAGTACAGTCTTTTCATCACTCTAATACCCTAAGCTAGAAAAAATGAATTTTTATGAAGTAAGACCAGAGTTAAGAGATTTTTTTAAAATTCTATTGCTGCTGGGCATGGTGGCTCACGCCTGTAATCCCAGCACTTTGGGAGGCCAAGGCGGATAGATCACCTGAGGTCAGGAATTTGAGACCAGCCTGGACATGAAATCCCATCTCTACTAAAAATACAAAAAATTAGCTGGGCATGGTGGCGGGCGCCTGTAATCCCAGCTACTCAGGAGGTTGAGGCAGGAGAATCACATGAACCCAGGAGGTGGAGGTTGCAGTGAGCTGAGATCGTGCCATTGCACTCCAGCCTGGGCAATAAGAGTGAAACTCCATCTCGAAAAAAAAGGGAAAAAAAAAAATTCTATTGTTGTCATGATTCAAATAAGATCATCTCTAAGGATGAAAACGAACTGAAAAGGTTAAAAGAACAAACTTTCTTCTAAATCCATTTCCTTTTTACTTCAACATCATTGAATGTAAACTGTTCTGCATTCAAACTGGCTATCTCAGGGTAACTTTCAAACATTTCAGTGTTTTTTGTACAACTCAGAAATTAAAAAGTCAGAATTGTTGATTTCAGACTTTATTCATTTTCATGCTAACATCCCTTGGTAAAGGACAGCATATTTTTATTATTCACTATAAATCCTCAGGGCACTTATTCATCACTGTTTACCGACCTTTTCTCCCATGTTGCTAACAGTAAAAAGCTCAGCTAGTTCCTCATTAAGCTATTCTGTTTATTACTATTCAAAAGAAATTAGTGTCCATGTTGCCTCCATCTTTACTAAACATCAATCACTTAACTTACTCTAATATTTTAACCATTGCAACACACGTCTGCAGCTCTCTGCACTTCTTTCCTTTGTCAATTCAGCCAGCCCTCACTCAGAATTGAGTCTTTGGTGACTTCCAAGAATTTTTAGAATACATCAAAACTCAATAACAAATCCAATTATTAGGTTTTATGGGGTTTACCAGCAACCTCTTGCTTTCCTCCTTCTCACATCCTCTACACTAATTTTACTCCTGCTACCATTCTTGTTAGGTAAATTCCTTTGTCACTATAACATGTGAAATTCCTTCTTGGGCTCAATATATGCTCTGTTACTGAAAGTGTTATTCTTCCAAACCACCAAATTATACCCATCTGATTTCTTTTTTTTTTTTTTTTTTTTAAGACAAAGTCTCACTCTGTTTCCCAGACTGGAGTGCAGTGGCACGATCTCAGCTCACTGCAACCTCCACCTCCCAAGTTCAATTGATTCTCCTGCCTCAGACTCCTGAGTAGCTGGGATCACAGGCATACACCAGCACATCCGGCTAGTTTTTGTATTTTTAGTAGAGATGGGGTTTCACCATGTTGGCCAGGCTGGTCTCAAATTCCTGACCTCAGGTGATCTGCCCACCTTGGCCTCCCAAAGTGCTGGGATTACAGGCGTGAGCCACCGCGCCCAGTCTCCCATCTGATTTCTTAACCTACATTTCTGAACTTCACTTTTGCAACACAGAAGTGCTACCACAGAGCTACCACAGCCCATGGTTCATATTTTTACATATTCAAACTTCCCTGTTTTCACATACATATGCTAATATGTGATCTGTATAAAATATGTATGTATTTGTATAGCCTCTGACTGCCTGTCTGATCTGCCTTGTCTGGGTTGTTGCTGAAGATCACAGCTATGTTTAATGTATTCTTCATAAATTCTCATGTAAACTCTAGTGTAATATCATCTTAGTTCTCAACTCATATTTGTCTATGACAGTAAATTAAAATTACAATGAAATAATAAAAATGTAATTTTTAAAAAGAAATAAAAAGTGAGAATTTAACCTGACATTGACACTACTCTCTGTAAGTCCTGGCTCAAAAACATTAAGTTGTTAGAATCTTAACCTTATTTTAATCAATTCTTCTAATTCAATTCTTTCTCATCATCCCCTTTTCCGGCACTATCTCCTTTCTAAATATCACCACCTATGATATGGTCTCTTACCCAAATCATTCATGTAAATTCAATACTCCTATTCCACTCAAAACCTACTATATTAAATAAATACTAGGGATAGAAAGATGAATAAAGCACTGGCCCCATCCTTCATTAATATATTTTTCAATTTATTTAATGCATTAAACTTATATTATAATGTCCTTTACAGAGCCTAAGTATATATACTTCATTTTCATCTATAGCTAATGCTCATCAAAAACTTAGTAAAAATTTTATTTTTATACCTTTCTTCTTAATTTTTACAAATCCATTGAACCCAGGCATATGGGTATCTTAGAATGTCAATACTATTAATACAGAGGAAAAGAAAAAAAAAAGGCATGCAGGACCCTTATAAAAGACCAGTTTTGTTTTTACATTTGCTTTCAAAAACAAGATCCCATTCTTTTTTAGTCTATATTTGGCCTTTTAATTAATCTTAGATAATCACCTGAATTCTTTTATGTACAAAGTAGCCAATCCTAAAGATTGACAATGGATAAATCTCAAATCCATTGAATCATTCATTCAATGTTAAGTACTTACCATGTGCTAGAGAAATATGAAAGAAAGCTATTATTAAGTAGGAAATAAGACTCTAACCTAGTATTAAATATATGGTGCTTAAATAAGCTGACAGGAAGCTCAAATTCAGGTAAATTATAATTAAATTCTGCAGTCTACATATAGTTGCATCCAGATAATTAAGATTATTTGATCTAATGCTCTTTAAATTCATACTTTAAATGACACAAATTGTAGAAGCTCAGACATTTCAAGAAAAAAAAAAATGACACAAATTCCTCATGGGTCCCAGCTTTCAATTCTGAAATGAGGTATGCTCCAGTTTGCATTTCTGAGGATTACTAAGCAGAAACAGTATCAACACTCACCTGTGTCATGACAATGAATACTGCAATGCCAGTGGATGCAGGTGTAGAATCCCACTGGAGAGGTCTGCTTTGAGACTTCTTCATTCTGACTATCGTCCAACCCATGCATAGACTCAAAAGCAAGTATAACATCTGAATTTGGGAAGCGATGTCAAAAACTAATGGGACATGAAAACCAATGTCAACCAAGTTTACACAGTATTAAAAAATTTAGCGCTTTTTGCGTTATGATGAGAACATCTTTTTTTTTTTTTTTTTAAACCACAAAAAGACAGCTATTTTCAAAGACAAGCTAAGGAAATTCATTGAGAGATATTCGCATGTAATAATTCTAAAGATTTAAAAATTGTCATAAATTTTGTATATATTCATAAAAATAGTTAAAACAGCAGCAATACTATTTAAAAATACATATATATGCCCATACCATATGTCCATTAAGTCCAACCTTAACTCTCTTCATTTCCCATTTTTCTTAGCTTTTCTAACTACATAATCTTGTTCTCTGCTCACTGCTTGTTAAATTCTAAATATGATTTAGAATTTAATCATATTAAATTGTTAATAACTCACTGCTTGTTAAATTCTAAATATGATTTCTGCAATGTGGAGAATACTAGTACCTTCATTTCTGAGTTTTTTTTTTTTTGATGGCTGAACTATAAAGAGTATTTTCTAAAACTATTAACAAGAAACAATACAATGAAATGCATAGCTCCCATAACATCCAAACATTGGTTTTACTTTCAGAATCCTGAAGACACATGAGAAGCTCCATACATTAGTGTGATGTGCCACCAGGTGGCCATCACCTACACTGCAGGGGAAGCCTGCTACTTCAAACAGAAAAGATGTATCAAAACCACCTGTATCCACGTCGACACTATAAGAAAACAACGAAAATCTATAAATGCTTCAAGTTCCATATATATATTTATTTTGTGAGGTAGTATTTAATGATTTTTTTAAGAAAGCTTATCACTTTTCTTCATAGTGTATTTTGATGTGAGTTTTAGGCTTTGGGTCAGAAATAGAAAAGAGTCAGTATAACAGAGAATGGAATTAAAATAGGAAGAAAACCTTCAGCTTTGAGGTAAGAAAATTTAGGTCTGAGTCTAGTCTCTACCACTCAATAGCTGACTGACATTTAGAAATCTGTTTCACATCACTGAGCCCAGATCCTTTATCTGCAAAATAAGGATATGCAGACATACTCTTCTATTGAGGATAAGATGAGAGAATGTATATAAATATGCCTAAAAACAATGAAGAGGCAGAGTGTAGTGACTCATGCCTGTAATTCCAGGACTTTGGGAGGCCAAGGCGGATGGATCCCTTAAGCCCAAGAGTATAAGGCCAGCCTGGGCAACATAGTGAGACCCCATCTACAGAAAAGGAAATTTAAAAATTAGCCAGGCATGATGGTATGTGCCTGTACTCCCAGCTACTGGGAAGGCTGAGGCAGGAGGATCACCTGAGTCTAGGAGTTTGAGGCTGCAGTGAGCCGTGACTGCACCACTGCACTCCAGCCTGGGCTACAGAGTAAGAACCCTGCCTCAAACAAACAAAAAAACAATGAGGAGCTGTACACATTACCTATTATTAAGAAGAAACTAAGTAGGACATATGGGAACTTAAACTGTAATCTTGTACTCAGTCAAGCTGATTTCTAAACAACTTTCGACAGAAAATTTATACTATGACAAGAAATAGTTTAAAAAAAAAAGCAGATAGCAAGTGTAAAAGCTTTTTTAAAAATGCTCAGAAAGATACTCACATTCTGCCAAGCTTCCCATAAATGGTACCCCTATTCCATCTTTGGAGTAACTGAGGAATTGAAGAAGATTAGTGTAAATGACAAATGTGAAAAAAATTGTTCATAATCAAAGCAAGCATAATTTTGGTGGACTAATTAGGATTAATTAGATGTAATGATGAACACAGTTTTAGTGGTTTTGAGTTACCTGGAGAAATGAATGTAATTAGCTAAAGCTGAACCAGCTTGTAACAGCAAGGCAGTTGTCAGAACCTTTAAAATCATGTGCATGGGTCCTCCTTTCTTAATAGCCTGCCACAATGATTGAGCATAAATGCAAGCAATCACAAAGTACACTAGGACTAGGAGGAAAAAGAACTCATGTAACCCTGTGAAGAGAAGAAAGGGAGTTTGCTTCAGTAAAACAAAGCCAGTTATCGTATTGGGTTGCTTTCAAATCTCCCTGTCAGTATATTTCTAGAACTTGTTTTTTAACTGGAGTCATAGCATTCACCTTTGTAAGAGAAAAAAAAAAAAACTCTTAAAACTTGAACGTTTTTGTGCCTTGGGGCAAAATTTTAACTATAAGAAAGCAGATTAAACCAAACTAGTTAAGGTCAATCTGTAGGAAAGCATAATGGTCAGGGAAACCCAAAGACTCATCATAAAATCACAGTTTTATTTGAAAACAGTAAATGAAAATAGTGATTTTAGCATTCAGTTAAATATACGTTTTACCCCCAAAGTGAATTTCTTTTGTAAAAAGTTTAGAAATAGATTAGCTCAGTCAATAATAGTTTAAAATACCCTGACAATGTATCTCAAAGTGTGTTCTCTTGCCCAGCAGCAACATCAGGGAACTTGTTATAAACGCAAATTCTTGAGTTCCATTCAGTTTTTGATCTACTGAATCAGAAACTCTTGACTAGAGCCCAGTAATCTGTGCTTTAGTAAGCCCTAAGCATGATTCTGATATAGCTAACGCACGAGAACCACAGCTTGGGAATGTCCCAATACCCTGAATTTCCATTTGGACAAATCTTCAAAATATCTGTCATGTCCAGAGATCTCTTCTGAGATGAACTGTCTACAGCTCTTGCCAAAAAAAAAAAAAAAAAAAAAAAAAAAAAAAAATCCTGTGGAGATCATGCAACTCCATGCCAGGATTGGCTGAAAATTGTAACACCTAACCAAATGGCTACCAATGCAAGAGGCCAACAACATAACAATTTTAATTTAGGCTAATCATCTTCTCTTAGTAGATCAAACTATAAAGCAGAAAGGAAAGAGGCCACAGAAATTGAAGTTGAAAGGAGATAATGTTGGAACAGGCCAGAGGAATCAAACTGAGCCATGATAAAAACCAAAGTTTTGAGGGAGCAGAAATTACAAGTGAGGAAAGAGAGATGGCTGGCAAAGAACAAAGAATGTGCAGACTTTATATTAAAAATGAAACCAGTCATTACAGCAGCCTCTAGTGCCTACTAGCAGCTTTTTAGTACAGTTTTCATGTAACCTTATTATAAATGTCACTTTTTCTGTGTTAACTTGAAATCTTTTGACTGAGTCTCCATTTTTCAGAAATTTCAGAAAATTTTTATAATAAAGCACCAGGCTAGCTTTCAGTTTAACGGCTAACATTTACTTGGTTACATGTCAAGATAGTCCCTAATATTAAGACTTTTACATTCTATCTAACACCAGACTGCTCTAACAGTGGTGTGAATAGAGCTGTCTTAATTAAGTCTATGGATGAACTTTCATTCCAATGGTAAACACCAAGCCTGCTCTAGTGTGCCATTTGGGTAAACTTCAATTAACAGTCAGAGAAGAAAATATTTCTAATATGTGGAAAATAATTTTGTAAAAGCAATCAGAAGACACAAATCATAAGAATCAATAAGTAGCTCAATCATGCTTTTGGCCTGGTTAGGGGGGGAAAAGCAGCAAAAAGTATTTCTGCCACTGGGTGTCTCTCCTGCTCTATGAATATAAATGTGGACAGTTAACTTTTCTAGTGCAGGTGAAAAAGCATGTTTAGACTTCAGGAAGGGAAGATCAAGTAAAATAGCATATTTTCTTTTAAAACTCCTTACATAGAAAAGCACTCTAGCCTTAGAAATAATGGCAACATAATCCTGGGGTTATTATAGTACTGGAACAAGACAGAAAATACAAATGCTAAATATATTATAACAACTGTGGGACAGTAAAGTTCCTTATGCTATCCTGTGTTTTGAATCTTAGTTTTTATCTTTCCTTCTTTGTATTAAAGAATTAAACATGGCATTCAATTTAAAGTTTTATTTATTTATAATATTTTACAGAATATCTTTAAAGTTTCTAACTTACAGGATAAAGTTTCCGACTCCACTAAGTTACAACTCTACCATGAAAAGAAAATGCTCAGACTATTTACTGAGGAATCGGAATAATGTAGAAGGAAGGACTCTGGAAAATAAGATATACGTTACAGTAAAAAATGTTTTAGGATTATTCACAGTTAATAATCTTCCAGCAAAAGCTAACATTATAATGAACACAAAAATTATTTCATTGACATAACATATTAAATAAATTGAACTGGGTCATGCCCCACACTTTATTCACTGAATTTTAGATGATTCTTACCTTGAACCTTTCCATAAAATACTTAAAAAGATAAAATGCTAGCTCTGCACTCAATGTTCTTTTAAACAAATCATCTCTTTAAAAAAGTCTGTCTTTTTGGTCAGGCGCAATGGCTCAGACCTGTAATCCCAGCACTTTGGGAGGCTGAGGTGGTTGGATCACAAGATCAGAAGATCGAGGCCATCCTGGCTAATGCGGTGAAACCCCCCGTCTCTACTAAAAAAAAAAATACAAAAAAATCAGCCAGGCATGGTGGCACATGCCTGTAATCCCGGCTAGGAGAATCGCTTGAACCTGGGAGGCAGAGGTTGCAAGTGAGCCGAGATGGCGCCAATGTACTAGGGGGGACAATGTCCAGCCTAGGGGACAGAGCGAGACTCCCTCTTTAAAAAAAAAAAAAAAGTCTGGTTTTTTCCTCTCTTCAGCTACCAAGTTTTTGTTTTGCCACAAGCAAAAATTGTTTGTTCACTTTGAAATTAAACTCAATTTGTGTTCACTTTGCTTGTTCACTTTGAAATTAAAACCTAATTTTAAAACAGGTGGGCACTAATTGCCAAATCTTATTATACTTAAGAGTTAATATACACTAAAAAAGTATACACTAAAGAAGAAAAATACTCTTAATGAGCGTACAACAGGTGGTGAACACTTGTAAGGGAATGTGTAAGGTTTAAGGCAAGCTTAAAGGAAGCAGCATTGGCAAAATAAAGTAGCAAGAAAACTTAGAGGACAGCTTCAATAAATTCAGCCCCAGCTAAATGATGGTAAGTAAGAAAGGAGGAGAGCCCAGGGGGAAAGGGTCCTTGGGTTCTGGGGCAGCACCTGGAACAGACATTCCCGCCTACCCATGATCCTTGTCTCAGAGCCCCAGTGGTCTCCCACACTCAAGTGTCTCAAGAAATATCCTGATTAGTCTAAATCAATCAGAAATTCCCATACCCTTACCAGTAGGAGGTAAACCTAACCCTTTTGACATATTTGTCTACTTTTATCCTCTTTCTTTCATGTCAACTTACATTTCTCTTATGATGCTATGACCCAGTTCTGAAAAAGGAAATGTGATAGGAAGCTTCTGGGAAAAATTTCCTTCCTCCTAAAAAGCGATACTGAATATTGCAATCATCTAGACATGATGCTCAGAACTGCCACAGCTAACTTTGAACTTGAGGCAGCTAGCTTAAGAACACTGATAGTCTGAGGATAGCAGGGTAGACAGATGCTAAATAAACCACCCTGGAGAAGCCTCAAAACTTCTTGTTGCATAAGATAATTCATTTCATTACTGTCTACACCACTTGCATTAGGGTTTTCTGTTACTTTAAGCCAAAAACATTCCAACATGTCACCAGTAACACACTACTGAAGCTAAATGGAAGATCCAACCCATTGTCTTTTGGGACATAGAGGAAAACAGGGATAACACTAAAGAATGAACACAGCTGCTAGAATTTTAAAAACAGTGAGATGGCAGATGTGGCAGAGCCCGTAGTATTATTCCAGTGAAAACCAGTCTACATGCCTTTAGGTAATAAGGCTCTCAGGATTCTGGGTACTTCTTGGTCTCTAATTAGAGTACAAACATAGTTAACAAGGATTCTAATATTTTAAAGATGCAGTTTTATTTTATTTTACCTTAAAGTATTATAATCCTATTTAGTACTTTGTCAAGTGGCATCACACTTGCCTTACTTTCTTTGTTTAATCTAGACCAACTCTGAAAAATAGAGGATTAACCAAAGTCTGGTAGATAGAAAATACATAATTGGTTTGAAAGAGAACAAATTACAAAATGTAACCAGAACAACATGTAACATTAATTGCAACTATTAGCACCAGGTTATTCTAATTCAAACCTCTGAGACATGTGGTAATAATCAATTTTCTATAAAAAGCATAGCAAATCAATTTTTCCTACTTGGAGGAGATAATTAGACAAACTAGCAGAAGTTTCTAAAATGAACTGAAGATTTTCCCTGTAAACAAAATCCATACCTGAGGCTACAAAGTAGGAAGAATCCCTCTTAAGGCTCTATTTTAAAACACATTACTAAAACATTGTGAAATATGGACTTTTAGATCAGTGGTTCTGTACATAAGAATCAACTTTAGAGCTTTAACTGGCTTCCACTCCAAACCAAATCTATCTGAGTCTCGGGGTGTGAACATCTGAATTTTTGTTTTAAACCTCATAACCTTAAACTAGATGCATACAGTGATGGGTTAAGAACCACTCATTGATACTTCAATGTAGAGTTATTCACAAAAGCTTTTAGGTATTTTAATCAATAAAATGATGTGATGTTTAGAGGAAGCCACAAAACAAGGCTGGATGGTTTTGGGTACTTCTAGCACTTTTTAATGATTAATTCCCACAGGTTAGCCTTGCATAGAATGTCATGCTTAATGAAAATACATACAATTATAGTGAGGTTTTGCCCCTTGTTTAAATATTGTTGCTGACATACTCAATGTAACTTACCCACTGTAGTATAAGACAGCTTTTAGACACAAGAGTAAGCATAAAATCAAAATCAGTCACAAAATCAGGAAAAGGTAGGTCAGAAGGAGTCAGAACTAAGAACTGAATCACAATGGTTAGTATGGATCATAAAGAAAAGGTTGCCACAACTCAAGATGTTGAGGAAAACACTGGAAGATATAGGCAAGGTTTAGGACAAGGCAAGGTATGACTGGCATTCAGTAGTCCAAGCATGGCACAGGGCACAAATGTGATCACTTTATAGCCTGGGATAAAAGTTTACATGCCAAATTGGTGATAAAGAAAAAGACCAAAAATGGAGGCCTGGATAAGGAGGCAAGTAAAAGCATATTAGGATCCAGAAAAGTCTCATGGATCCACTCAATACATAAAACCACCGTTTGAGCCAAAGGGCTACAGCCTGGAAGGCAGGAGAGGAAGCGCTAATTCATCTGGACTCCAGTAGAGGCAGCAGGGTTTGCACATGCAGCAACTGCAGCAGAACATTACTTCCTAGTGAGCCTTGACCAGTCCTAAAAACAAGTGTCATGTGAAATAACGAAGTCTTACAGTTAAAAAGGACCGGAAGGCTGCGTGCAGTGGCTTATGCCTGTAATCCCAGCACTTTGGGAGGCCAAGGCACGCCTGCCTTGGTCTGAGGTTAGGAGTTCTGGTCAACATGGCGAAACCTCGTCTCCACTAAAAATACAAAAATTAGACAGGTGTAGTGGTGGGCGCCTGTAGTCCCAGCTACTCAGGAGGCTGAGGCGGGAGAATCGCTTGAACCCGGAAGGCAGAGGTTGCAGTGGGCCGAGACTGCACCATTGCGCTCCAGCCTGGGTGACAGAGCAAGGCTCCGCTTCAAAAAATTAAATTTAAAAAAAAAAAAAAAGGACCTGAAGAGCAGTTCAGTCCAACCACCCATTCAATGCTCTTAGTAGACCTGGGTTCCATCAATGCCTTTCCAAAATACAGAAAAATGTTGGCATCTTTTACAAAGATTAAGGAAATGGAAGGACTAAGTTAATTTTCAATAATGATCTATACTAGTCAAAGGTATCATAAATGAAATTTAACCTTTACATTCATTTGCATTCAGAAACAACTTGAGTAGTTTACACTACATCATTTCTTTCACAGAAAGAACTTTAAAATTAACCACTTTAAAACATTTAGGGCCAGGTGCAGCAGCTCACACCTGCAATCCCAACACCTTGGGAGGCCAAGGTGGGAGGATCACTTGAACCCAGTAGTTTGAGACAACCTGGGCAACATGGTGAGACCCCATCTCTAAAAAATAAAAATAAAAATAAATTAGCACGCCATTCTGTCACTAGATATACATTTTTCCCAAACAAAGGATATTTTTAAAAAGTTTATCCCTTAAAACATTATTTGTGACCTACTGTCACAAATCTCAAGTTGCTTTTTTAGCTGTGGTGAATTTACACTTTGAACTAAACAATCGGTTTAAGCTAATGTGGCCTCACTCCTGCCTCACCTCCACCCACGCCACTCTATGGCCAACAGGATACAATGGAACTAAATTTTTCTCTTAAGCAGATTGACTCTTTCAAACAGCCAATGAACTCATGAAGAGGTAAACCATTAACGCTTTTCTTTGACAGATGGCGTACAAATCCTTACTCCTACATGGTAATTTACAAATCAGTTATACTTCATAGCATGTTTATCATGATCATAAGAAGTCATTCACTTCTGCTGGGGCTAGGAATCTTACCTCAGTAGGCCAGGACATAGTTACCTAACATTTTGATGAAATATTTTATATGAGTAAATCTGATTCTGGGAAGTATTATAGACTCTGATCATTTAAATTGTTGTAAGCTTCAATGAAGGCAATCCCTAAATCTGTTCAAACAACCTAGTAAAGAGTTAACCATACAAAGCAGTTCAGTTTCTAATCTCATTTAATTATTGAGTTAACAACTGAAATTGTTCAATTTATTACATTTTTCTGTTTATAAAAATAATGCAAAGTTATCATAAAAACAAAAATATTTAGAATTATAGAGGAAACTAAAAACTGCACAAGTCATTTCCTGTCAGGAGCCCAAACAAACAAGCAAACAAACAAAACTATACAACTCTACCAACTCAGAGTATCAAAATAATCTGTTAACAGTTTTGTACTTCTGTTTAATTCTCTGCAGGTTTTAATACACTCAAATAATACTCTGCTTTTAAAAATTAGTATTATGGCTATCAAAAAGGTATAAGAAGATTCATTTAACCATTTCTCTACTTTTGGACATATAGGTTGCTTTCATTTTTTTATTTTAAAAATACGACATGAATATATTTGTGCATAAATCTTTTCCAGAATTTAGGATATATTCAAATACATATTCTTACCAGATTCTCCAGCACTAAAATGATCAAATGGATTCCCTTCGGCATCTGGGTTTAGTAACACCATTTCAAATGGGATATCTTCCACCTGAGAATTCTCCTTGTCATCTTGGCACGTATACTTGTCTGCATAAAACACATGCCACGTTTGTGGAGATGGAATCTGGGACACTGTCAGATTATGTTCGGTCTGGTTCATGGTCACTTTAAAGAGAAAGAAAACAACACCTTTGGTAACAAAACTCTCACACGTGTTCCATTATTTTATCATATAATCAATTTGAGGTTAGGACACTCTTTTGTTTCATTTTTATTGCCTCAGAAATCCAAGACTTTGTGAAGTATTTGGAATAAGTCTTGTAAACCAGATATTTACAGAATAAATCAGAATTTATCTGCAAAGGAGATAAAAATGATGCTTTTAACCAAGGAATCACTATACAAGTATGACTATAAAACACCACGAGTAGAATGGCTTCACTGAAACTCTGAATTTTTTTTTTTTTCTGGTTCTCACATTCGTATTGGGAGCCATGGGAGGGGCCTCCTCTGTCAGTGGAGGTGCTCAGTTTCTTCAGCCACTCCAAGCTGGGGCTCTGGGAATCCTGGGGGTGGCTGGGCACATCGGGCATGTTCCCATCATTGCGGATGGGCATTGGGTAGTTGTAGGGTGTGACCTCGTTGATCATGATGACGTACTTGGTGTAGGGGCTGAGTGGGGGCAGAATTACAGCTAGGCTCCTGATGATGAAGGACATGACCAGCACCGGCTCCTTGGCCCAGGCATTCTTGAGGAAGGCGCTGAGTCTCGCCACCATCTTGGTCTCGACAGCTGAAACTCTGAATTTTAATTTTCAGTATTTTCACAGTTTCCAGGTGGGTTAATGACATTCAAAAAAATTGTGGTGGTACAATATACACAATGCTAAATGTATCATTTTAACCATTTTTAAGTGTACAGTCTATGGCATTAAGCACATCCACAATGCTGTGCAACAATCACAGTGACATTTTTGAAGATTACTCGAGTTAAATTTAAAATGGAGCATTCAACTTACGAAATCATTGTATCTAAAAACTACGTATTTTCAAAAGATTTTCCAAAACCTTTTTCTGATTGGTTGTTCTTTAAAAGGGTACAAAAAGCAGAAAAAATAGAAATTACAGAAATGTAGAAGTTATTATACTGGATCAGGTCCATATGAAGTAATATGATATAGTCAGGGGTGGGGGTGTGTGGCATCATTCAGATGTATGTTTCAATCCTGGCTTCAATACTTAACTGTTGTGTGACCTTGGGTAAGTTACATAAGCAATGACACTCATTTTCTTCATCTGTAAAATGAAGATACTACCTACAGCAAAGAGCTGATGTAAGCACTAAATTATGTGAGTCACCTAGCATGGTATCTGTCACAGAGCAGTTGCTAAACGTCAACTCTGCTTTTCCTTTCTTTAAAACAAGGTGGTTATATTAGTAAGTGGTTCTCAATCCAGGGTAATCTCCTTTCATCCAGGGCCTCTGAAAATATGAGGGGATCGTTTTTTGTCACAATAGCTGGTTAGATACTTGGAGGGGGGCTATGCTGAACCTCATGCAAAGAATTATTCCCCCTAAAATGCCAATGGCACTCCCTTCTGAGAAACACAAAATGATGTATAAGATTCTCTCTGGATCTAAAACTATTAGGTTGGTGCCAAAGTAATTGCAGTTTCTGAATATGACCTGACCTAAGAGGCACTGACTAACACTAACATGAAGCTGCCTAGGAGAGGAGTGTCTCAAGTTCTGAGTGTAACGAAGAGTAGAGTCAGAAGAGTGAGTCTTGGCCTTGTGACTCAGCAAATAAATTTACAACCTCTCTAAATTTGTTTCTTCAATAGTAAAATAAAGATACCTTCCCTGTTAGCTCAGAGTTCTTGTGAGGCGCAAAGGAAAAGCATATGGAATGTTATGTAAAGAGAATGATTCTACACAAAGTATTTTTAAAACAGTATTATGATGGGCCCAATTCCCAACTCTAGTTTGCCCCCATAACATGTCAATATTTAAGGACAAATTAGTCTTAATCTCTTTCTCAATTGTAGATTTTTAACAAATAAAAGACATTTCTTGAGGTAACCAGAAATTTGTGTATGGAATAGATTTCGGAGGACATTATAAAATTATATTAATTTTCTTAGGTGTAGGACAGTTAAACAGATGAATTTCTTTACTCTTAGAAGATGTATGCTTAGGTATGGAGGAGCAAACTGTGATACCTGCTGCTTATTTTCACAAGGTTCAATTAAAACAAAAATCACATACATATAGACATAAAGCAAATTTAATAAAATATTAACAATTATTGAGTCTAAGCAGAGGATATACAGATGCTGGTTGTATTATAATTTCATCTTTTCTGTATGTTGGGAAATTTTCCTAGTGGAAAGTTGGAAAAATGTTATTTATAGGTGGTCTTTATGAATGAGATACAGATGTAGTCAGGATTTGAATTTTGAGGACTTGGACTGTACAACTGGGAATTTCATTCATTGGTAGTTAAATTGAATAAGAGGATTTGATTAACACCACTATGACATTGCTTTTTTGGCCACTGTAAGTTAGCTGACATTTAAACTACCTTTTTAAAAAACAAACAAACAAAAACCATACAGCTTCTGGAAAAATGTAGCAAAGACTCTAGTCTCTGTTAAATATTGGAAGACTTTTAGTAAGAATTTAATAAATGCTCAATAAATGATTCAGAAATAAGACTGTTTAAATGTGCAATGTGCAATTATATAATCCGGACCTCATTATATAAAGGCTCTGCTGTGTTGCTGTTTTTATCATTTGCACTTTTTCTCTTAGATAAAATATTTAAAAACCACACTTTTACCAATATACTTCTGATGTTTCATTTTAAATTATGTGGATTTACTGCAAGCAGAAATAAAAGTGTGCTTCATAAAGTGATACTGGCCTTTAGTTTTTGTCTTGCTGTCTTTTCAGCAAGCCTGGGAAACAAGCCTCTTGACAAAACCGTGTGTTCATTGTTTCCGAGACAAAAGACTACAGCACAGCATGCATATTCTATGCTGGTGTAATTAGTACCTCAAATATTAACAAAACTTGAACTGCTGAGAATGGTGCTGAATAGCTAATTGTCCAATCATATTATAAAAGGAAATGAATACTGTTAACCAAAACACACAATAAAATACTAACACCTTTAAATGATTTACAAAATATATCAAACTACAAAAGGAATCATATGCATAACATGTAAAAAGACAACACTGAAATATTTTGTATACAATATTTTATTTAGCTCCTATAATCTGATAGAAAATTCCTCCAAATCTCCTTGTTTAGATAGAAATACATAAACTCATCATTTTCAGTGCTTTTAAATGTCTTGTTTGCTTGCTTTAAAAATCTACAAAATAGTTTTTAGTATTTTTTAAATCAGATTTTTATGACAGAAGAGATGATTGAAAAATAATTTCTCAAACATTAATTTGGGAGAGTCAAGCAACATTCAACGTTGAGATTTTTCAAATCTGCTAGTCCTTTCATAGCACACAGCAGTGGCAGGGTTTTACGTAGGAGCTGGGCAGAGTTACTGAGTTCATTACCAAATAGGTGAAAGGCTGTTAACTCTTAAGTCTCATTAATAGCTAAGAAAAGCACTTGCTATAAGGAATTATTCTTAAATATGTGCTACTATTACATCATGAATTTAAAGATATGCTTTTTGTTTAAATGTATCTAAGCTCCTAAATAACATACCATAAATATGACAACTAATATATAGAAGAGACTTAAGACTTGGATTTTGTTATTGGAAAAAAACTGGTGAAGTATATATACGTAGAAATCAGTATTAAATTTATTTTAGGCCCCAAAATTTGACAAAACAACCTTCACTCCTCTAAAATTCCTGTTTCCTGATATCTTTCATTCCACAATTCCAAAGAATACTTCTGCACTCAACAGAACAGGGAAAAGAAAGAGAAAATAGAAAAAGAAACAACAGCAGAAGGTTTTGTTAAGTTGTAGTCCTATACATAAGTAACTCCATCCTTAACAGTTATAATGAGAATGGCAGCATTTTGGAACTATTATGAACCTTAGGGAAACCTAGTCAACTTGCTTGTTGTACAGATAAGTAAAATAGGGTTCAAAGATAACGAGTTCTTGCTATAAATCACTAGCAGTGATTCTCAGTTTTGTGGTCTTCCCATTGCACCACACTGTCTCCCGGCATATAGAAGTTCTGGGAATACAGGAATATGACTCATACAGAAATGATGTTTTTAAGTGTATAAAGTATATAGTATAATACTGACTATGTGATACAAGAGAACAAATCAATATTTCTATCGCTCAAAGCTTTAAACTGCCTAATAAGTTTTTGTTGGAGACAGAAAAAGTCTTTCAGATGTCAAACGCAAAAAGCAAACAACCTACCTAACAAAAAGCCCTTAAACACTAAGGTCTACGACTATTCATTCTACAATACTTAGTAAAAACTTAACTAAGCACCAGGGTACGATAAATTCTCATTCTCATAGTGCCATATAATTGGCATTCATAGGGCTTATCAAAATAGCAATTTTACATTTATTCACACTGATCTGATTCATTCTGGTAACCGCCACCAGCCTTAAGGACATTTTGGTCACTAATCTATCACCAGTACCTAGCATAGTACATGAAACAGTGGAAGCACTCAGTGAATGAACACACCAAAAGAGCCCTACTGCTCTCATTGACTGATTTTATAACAAATAAATACAATGGAAAGTGGTAACTATAGTAAGTGTTATGTAGGAAAGCAAGAGGCTATAAAAACTTAGGTGTTAACTTAATCGAGGGAGGAGCCAGCAGGGAGGCTGAAGAGGAAAAAGCTTATGCAAAGGCTCAAGGTAGCACTGAAATAAAATGCAGTGAGTGGGGCAATGCCCTGAGATAAAATGGAGAGGTAAGCAGCAGCCAGTCTACAATGGCTTTGCTGGTCAGGTTAAGGAGGCCTGGACAGGTTAAAGGAAACGGCTTTGCTGGTCAGGTTAAGGGAAACCATTTATTTTAAGGGTGTGGTGAGGAAGTGATTGTAACATAACCATATCTGCTATTTAGAAACATCTAGTTACAGAAGGGAGACCAGCATGGCTATAGAATAACCAGGTAGGAGACTGCTGAAATAGCAAAGGCAAGATGATTTCAAGAGATATTTAAAAGTAAAACCTCAAGACTTAACTGATGGATGGGGAGGTAGAAAGGTCAAAGAGGGGAGTATTAGAAGACACCTTGGTTTCTCAACTGTTTACTAGATGGTGGGTGGTGCCAGTTCTTAAAACAGGGAACACCAGAAGAGGACCAGGTCTGGATGGGGAAGATGGTGAGTTCAGTTTAGACACCAGAGGAATTGGGAACTGAAGGACATGACCTTTCATACATACGTGGAACACTTAGATGAGCAAATTGGCAGAGAAAGGAAGAGATAACTAATCATGAGAATCTGCATATATTTCCCAGATAAGTTTTGAATTCAGGGTCAAAGTAAATAATTGTATGTAATTGTCTCTTTTATAGTTGAATCCAATCATTCATCTTCAGGATACTATCTTCTCACAATGTCAGCTCACAAATCTACATTAAAGATCCCCACAATGGGTGGCAAGGATTGGGGACCTCTGTGTTTTTCACTGTTCTAACTAGTTGCCTTATGAGGGAATCAGACAGCTGATAAGATAAAGACTGGATGTTGAGAAATGAACGTTTCGCTAGACTAGGCTAAGAGGAGACTACCATGTTCCATATATGGATGAGTCCCTGAATAATAATGGGAAAGAGGGAAGAGTAATTCCCAAATTTGAAGCATTTGGATGCTTCAAATTTCTAACGTCTCCTACACCTAATTAACTTGCAAGGTGCAAAATGGAAACAATGGCACACGTTCTTCATTTCCATATTTAAAAAAACTTTCACTCACTCTGGATGGCTAGCACTCTAATGCACAGGACAATGTTGATGAGAATGAATGGGATCACAGATTTAAGCCACTAGATTAGGATTTTAAAAGTACAGCCTCTCTAGAGGCAAACCAGCAGTATACAAATAATGTGGTGCTGGTACATCTCAAAGAGACTTTTTTTTTTTTTTGAGACAAAGTCTCACTCTGTCACCCAGGCTGGAGTGCAGTGGTGTGATCTCGGCTCACTGCAACCTCTGCCTCCCAGTTTCAAGCAATTCTCATGCCTCAGCCTGCCAAGTAGCTGGAATTACAGGTGTGTGCCATCACACCTGTCTAATTTTTTTTTTGTATTTTCAGTAGAGACGGGGTTTCATCATGTTGGCCAGGCTGGTCTCAAGCTCCCAACCTCAGGTGATCCGCCCACCTTGGCCTTCCCAAGTGCTGAGATTACAGGCGTGAGCCACTGTGCCTAGCTGTCAAAGTGACATATTGTATCACCATGTAACTAAGTCTCATGTTCAAATGACATGTTGGGAAATAGCATCACTTGAGCTAAATTATCCGATTAACTAAAATAATACATGTTTGGCATTTAGCTCAGTGCTGGCAGATAATTAGCATTCAACGAATGTTACCATTCATTCCATGCTGCCACTGGGTCAAAATATATTTTCCATATTGGCATAAATTATGCAAACTGTAAAGAGTCTGAATGAAAGAAAGGACTCCTATATAAATTATCTGGATTTTCATTTTTCAAAAATGATAAAGAAGGGAAAGGCATTGTTAAAACTCAGCTTAAAATGTACTAGACAAAGTGTCATCACCGTGCGATGTAACATATGTACATATGGTACTGTATTTCAACATTAGGAGGAAAAAAACTGTATCTAATGATCAAAGAAAAAAGGATATACTCACTTGTCAACTGAGCTTTGGATAATTTTTCACTACAGCTATAACCATGACTGCTTTGCTGTAGCTTTAGCCATTCCTGGGCTTGGAACAGGTAGAGTTTAGCTTCTTTTCCAACAGCTACTGCTATGTTGTTGATTCTGACACACAGAAGAGCATGGTCACCTTGACATTAAAACAAAAATTATCAACTAGTTTGGTCTTATATGAAACTGAGACATGAGGACAACTCAACACCTCTACTTACCAAAATGGAAATTTAAAAAGCACAATTCTTCTTAAATCTCGCTTAACTAGGTAAATCACATCAGAATGAACACCACATTTAGAAGCAAGAGATTATTCAAATGAACGTGTGGTATTTCCTTGAAATTCAGCTGATAACTGATAATATTTCACTCAATAAACAGCAAATATCTAGGGTATTTGGACAATTCACTGTATTACAATTTTTGCCTCACTTTACAACCACTTGTTTTACATTTTATTCATAATCTATAGAAATGTCCCACCAGGACTGTAAACTAGTTCAACCACTGTAGAAGACAGTGTGGCAATTCCTCAAGGATCTAGAACTAGAAATATCATTTGACCCAGCCATCCCATTACTGAGTATATACCCAAAGGATTATAAATCATTGCTGCTACAAAGACACAAGCACACGCATGTTTATTGCAGCACTGTTCACAATAGCAATGACTTGGAACCAACCCGTATGTCCATCAATGATAGACTGGATTAAGAAAATATGGCACATACACACCATGGAATACTATGCAGCCATAAAAAAAGGATGAGTTCATGTCCTTTGTAGGGACATAGATGAAGCTGGAAACCATCACTCTGAGCAAACTATTGCAAGGACAGCACATGTTCTCACTCATAGGTGGGAATTGAACAAAGAGAACATTTGGACACAGGGTGGGGAACACCACACACCAGGGCCTGTCGTGGGGTGAGGGGAGAGGGGAGGCATAGCATTAGGAGATATACCCAATGTAAATGACAAGTTAATGGGTGCAGCAAACCAACATGGCACATGTATACATATGTAACAAATCTGCACATTGTGCACATGTCCTCTAGAACTTAAAGTATAATAAAAGAAAAAAATTAAAATTAAAATTAAAAATTAAAGTCCCACCAAAGTTTCTGTTTTTCAATAGGACATAGGTGTTAATGTTTAATTATACTCTTAATATAAAAAATAAACATAGCTAATAGCAGGAAAGTTTAAATGTATGTGTTCTGGAGTAGACACATTATATCTTAAACAAAATTTGGTATCTATGACTTTTACAAAAGAACTTTCAAGGGCTGGGCACAGTGGCCACACCCATAATCCCAGCACCTTTAGGAGGTCAAGGTGGGAGGATCACCAGTCCAAGAGTTTGAGACCAGCCTGGGAAACAAAGTGAGATCCTGTTGCTATTTAAAAAAAAAAAAATTATCTAGGCTTGGTGGCTGAGCCTGTAGTCTCAGCTACTCGAAAGGCTGAGATGGGAGGATGGCTTTAGCCTGGGAATCTGAGGCTGCAGTAAGCTTTGATTACACCACTGCGCTCCAGTCTGGGTGACAGAACAACACTCTTTTTTGGGCCAGTGTTACTCTGTCACTCAGGCTGGAGTGCAGTGGCGTAATCTCCACTCACTGCAATCTCTACCTCCCAGGTTCAAGCGATTCTGCTGCCTTAGCTTCCTAAGTAGGAGTTGCTGGGATTACAGGCATGTGCCACCACACCCGGCATCACCACATCCAGCTAATTTTTGTATTTTTAGTAGAGACAGGGTTTCACCATGTTGGCCAGGTTGGTCTTTTTTTTTTTTTTTAATTTTTTGAGACAAAGTCTTGCTCTATTGCCCAGGATGAAGTGCAATGGCACGATCTCAGCTCACTGCAACCTCCATCTCCCCGGTTCAAGCGATTCTCCTACCTCAGCCTCCCAAGTACCTGGGATTACAGACACCTGCCATCATGCCCGGCTAATTTTTATATTTTTGTAGAGATGGGTTTCACCATGATGGCCAGGCTGGTCTTTAACTCCTCACCTCAGGTGATCTGCCCACCTCAGCCTCCCAAAGTGCTGGGATTACAGGCATGAGCCACCGCGCCCGGCCGCCAGGTTGGTATTGAACTCCTGATCTCAAGTGATCTGCCCGCCTCTGCTCCAAAAGTGCTGGGATTACAGGCATGAGCCACCCACCGAGTCTGGCTTCTTTTTTTAAAAAAAGAACTTTCAGAATAATATACGTTGTAAGATGAATACAGAATGAACCTGGTTGCACACACCAACTACATTTAAGGCCCAGAACAAAAATGGCAATAAGTTAGTGCCTCTAAGGAAAGGGATTCTGGGTGAAAAGAGCTAAGACAAGAGACTATTTTTCATTTTAAGATCTTCTGTTCTCCTGGAAATTTTTTTTCTATGCTTTTGTTACTATAATTACCACTTTTATCAAACATTTTAAATATATTTAAATATACAGTGTATATATCAAATAATGTGAAAATCTCTTACATATTTTGAACAGTCTTAAAAGTGACTCTGAGGCCCAATTAACACTGTAAATTGCATTCTGAGTTACAGTTCATTATTTCAGTATAGTTTTTGCATTATTATTTTACTGAATTGGGATTCATGAAAATTGGTAATAACTATACATGATTTTATACATATGAAAGAGAATGAATGTACTTGAAACACCTTATCCCCAATCTGTCTTGAGAAATCCGAATTTAGTACATGTTTCTCCTCCACGTTTACCAGATGATCATCATGAACTATGAGGAAGTCCAAGTCTCTCTGCTGGCCCTAAGTAATAACCCATGTCTTCTATATACCCCAGATTTTCCAACACTGTCCACATTGTGCCATTTAAGACAGTGGCTGTCAATACTCAAAAAGTATGGTTACAGTCCGTTGATTGAGAAACTCAAAATGTGACCAAAAAATAATAAAATTGTTTCTAGTGTTTCTTCTTCATTCACCCAAAATATATTCCACATTGGATTATGAAAAACTGGGTTGCTGAACTCCTTTTCTTAGGTATCTTAAAAACTTCAAAAAAAAAAAAAAATTCAGGATCCCTTCCCTTTATTCCGTCAATTCTGCAATTTCCCATTACTTTAAATTCCTTTTCTCACCAAAGTAGTTCCTAGTTTCTATTATCTTCTCTTAAGAACATTTTCTAGGCCAATATTCTGATGTTCAACGTTGCCTCTTTTAATGCTTAATACTGTACAAATCAAAGTTCCTAATGTCGTCCAGGCAAATAATTATTTGAAATATAGCACTAGTCAAATTGACAGTACCAAGAAAAACACTTAAATTGTGAGGGTGCGAATGAGACCAAAATTAGAATGAATTGCAAATTCATTTATTGAAGGAATAATTACTGATATCTGAGGAAGATCAAAAGGTAATAATCAAATGCAGCTCTGATTTCAGAAGAGCCACACAGAACACAAAGTAGGGAGCTTCCAGAGCGCTACTTACATGCTTTTTCATCAGCCTAATTCTAGGCCTTACCGCCCACAGTAAATCTACTGCACTAGTAGCCAATTAACCAAACTGTTCAATATGACAACTACATTATCAAGTGTTTTACTTGGTTTCCAAAACCACTGTGCTGCAAGCAGGTCTCAGCAAATTGATCTTAAAAAAAAAAAAAAGGAAATTTAAGTTACTAGTCTTAAATTCTCCCGTACGTCAGTGTACACAGTGCGGCCGAGACAGGAAGGAGCAAACGTGCTTCTCTGGGGGAAGGATCTGGAAAGATGCGGCCGACCAGTCATTTGCACATTCGCTTGCAAGGAGAGGGTTGGGGAAATGGAAACCGGCTTTCAGGTGCGGAACACGATCACTAGTGGCGGGAGGCCGCTGCCTTGGGCTGGGAAGCCGCACCAGCGGGGTTGGCAAGGAATGCATCCCACTATTCCCGGCAGCTGCAGCGACGCAGGAGGTCCAGGTGAGGCTGGGGGAAGTCGCCGGCCTCGCCCAACGTGGCGGGGGGGGGCCGGGAAGGAGCGGCCCGCGGACCCCGCCGGCGGGATGGGCCACGCGCCTTCATCCCTCTCCCCACCCCCAAACCTACCATGGAACTCGAAGTGGCCGATGCGCTGGCCCTGGGCGTCCTGGGCCGCGGTGCTGCTGAAGCTGCCCCGCAGGGTCTTACCCTGGCTGCCCTGCGGCCACCAGCAGCACGTGAGGGCCACCGCCAGCAGCCGCAGCCCCCCCATGCCCGTCTCCCGCTCCTCACCGACGCCTCGGCACCCAACTACCCGCGGCTGCCCGCCCCACGTCGGCAGCTGGGGGAGGCGGGGTCGGCGCCGGAGACCTGCGGCTCTGGAGCCTGAGAACCAATGAGGCGGGCTGCTCTGCCACGAGCCAAAGACATTCACCAATCAGAGGCCGAAATGGGCGGGACGCGCAGATCCGAGCGTCCCATCACTCCCCGGCTTTTGACTAGTTCCCGCCTTTTTCTTTAATGAGGAATCAGTAGGATGTTGCTTCAGGTTACGGAAAACTCATCTCCCTCATCGCCTAGCACGTCTTGCTACTGAGCATGCGCGGGCGCGCTCGCACGAGTCCGCTTGGCCTTCGAGGGGCATGTGAGATTCGGAAAAACTTAAGATAACACAGGACAGGACTGTCTCTGGTCGAGAGAGAAAAACTCTCCCGCAAAGAAAAAATCGTGTTCCTATGCAGCTTTTCTTCCTCGGCGCCTGTATAACCGACAGGACGTGTCTGATTTAATGCCTCAAAGACACTTAGGTCCGCAAGACCACAGTTTAACGCATGACTTCTCTTGGCATCTCCAGTCGATTTTTCCCTCCTAGGTTCTCTGGCTTCTCGACTTTTATTATTCTCCGCCCCCCGCGCCCCGCGCCCCGCGCCCCGCAGACCAGACCGCTGGGAATTGTAGCCGCCCCCAGCCCCCATTCAATCAATTCAATTACAAGTCTGGAGTAGCCCCTCTTCTGGTGAGGGTGGGAAGCAGCCACCACAGTCCTACTCGGTTCATCACTTTCTTGGCCTATGGCAAAGACCGTCTTTACAGTCTTCATTCTAATTGGCTACAGTCCATCTCTATCCTACAGGCACAGAAAAGCTGTAGGAAACAATTTGCTGCAAAAGGTTCTCATGGCTCTCCAGCCTCTCAAATGTCCATTTTTTTTTCTCATCTCCATCCTCACCGCCGTCGGTTTCCTGAACACTCCCAAGTTCTCCCTTCTAGGCCTTATCACTCCCTGATCCCTCTGGCTGGAATACTTCTGCTTATTCCAATACTGGACCTCTTCACTTTCCTTTTCCTCCTTTACTCCTCCTTCCCAAGGCACTTTAAGAAGCCTTTCTCAAACCCCTAAGTCTGTAGTAGCTGCCCCTGGCACCAGAATCCCTTACTTCCCTATCAGAGCACTCAGTCACTGTACTGTAAGTATCCATTCATGTGTCTGAAATCTCCACCTCTACTGTCAGCTCCAGCTGATCAGCGACTATACTTTTTTTTTTTTTTTTGAGACGGAGTTTCGCTCTTGTTGCTCAGACTGGAGTGCAATGGCTCCATCTCGGCTCACCGGAACCTCTGACTCCCGGGTTCAAGCGATTCTCCCGCCTCAGCCTCCCGAGTAGCTGGGATTGCAGTCATGCGCCACCACACCCGGCTAATTTTGTATTTTTAGTAGAGATGAGATTTCTCCCTGTTGATCGAGACTGGTCTCGAACTCCCGCCCTCAGGTGATCTGCCCGCCTTGGCCTCCCAACGTGCTGGGATTACAGGCGTGAGCCACCGTGCCCTACCTGTCTTAATGAAAGTGAGGCAGGAGAATAGGGCCTGGGGGCAGGGAACCTAAGGCCTTTTCACACCTAGAACTAAATTTAAAGAAAAACCCTAACTTTCCACCCTAAGTAACAAAAGGACCACAGGCTATGCCCTTTGCAAATCCCCACCTTTTCTGGAGGCAGATAAGAAATTGGCTGTCCCTACCCAAGCAGACTGATTGCCAGCTGAGTCTTCGTTTGCATAGAAGCGCAACTTTGTAACACTGTAACATTGCTTTTTGCAACCAATCAGATGTTTGCACAGGAGTGTGACCTTTGTAACTCCACTTCAGACTCTGACTCGTTGCTTTCTGCAAGGATTCAGACCTATTGGGGGCCACCACTTCATTTACATGAGGTGAGCTCCAAGTGACCAGTGGGAAACCTCTAGAGGGTATTTGGACCCAAGATGATTATGTATCCAGGTCCTTCTGCGCTGCTCGGGAGGCTCCCATACTGTGGAGTGTATTTTCATTTTCTTTTTTTGAGACAGAGTCTCCTTCTGTCACCCAGGCTGGAGTGCAGTGGCACAATCTCGGCTCACTGCAACCTCCGCCTCCCAGGTTCAAGTGATTCTCCTGCCTCAGCCTCCAGCTGGGATTACAGGTGCGCACCACCACACCCGGCTAATTTTGGATTTTTAGTAGAGACCGGGTTTCACTATGTCGACCAGGCTGGTCTCCAACTCCTGACCTCAAGAGATCCTCCCATCTCGGCCTCCCAAAGTGCTGGGATTACAGGTGTGAGCCACTGCGCCCAGCCATGTACTTTCATTTTCAATAAATTTCTGCTTTCGTTCTTTTGTTGCATCATTCTTTCCTTGCTTTACTGTGCCTTTTGTCCAATTCTTTGTTCAAAATGCCAAGAACCTGGACAACTTGCAGTCAAGACCCTCCACAGGTAACAAAAGTAGGAACTCAAAATTATTTCATGAATAAATGTATATAAATGATTTTCATTTAACAACAAGCTTCTATAACATATAAGCAAGTTCTCATAACAGACCTCACCATTTAGAAAAAAAAAAATATTGAGGGACCACCTCCTACCATATACCCAGCATTTTCAGTATTTCTGGCTGAATATGCTGGAAGTATTAATATTTTGGGATTTAAAAAACTGCAAGGGTTCTTTGTTATAAAAGTAATCCATGTGTCTCAGAAAAAAATTCACAGTCAAAATTATATAAAGTGGGCTGGGTGCGGTGGCTCACGCCTGTAATCCCAACACTTTGGGAAGTGAGGTAGGTGGATCACCTGAGGTCAGGAGTTCAAGACCAGCCTGGCTAACATGGTGAAAACTCATCTCTACTAAAAATACAAAAACTAGCCAGGTGTGGTATGCACCTGTAATCCCAGCTACTTGGAGGCTGAGATGGGAGAATCGCTTGAACCTGGGAGGCAGAGGTTGCAGTAAGCCAAGATTGTGGCACTGCACTCCAGGCTGGGCAACAGAGCGAGACTCTGTCTCAAGAAAACAAAAGCATATAAAGTAAAAATTAAACTCCCCATTTCCTCCTTTCCCTTCCCATATCTCATCCCCAAAGGTAACTTATTTTAAGAGTTTAGGGTGAATCCTTTCAAGTAAGTCACAAATACCACAAAAATATGTGGTATTTGTAAACCAAGGAAAGGAATAAAATTGGTCCTGAAGAAAAATCATAACATAGGCCTTGAATGCTGTTAGGCCTCTCCTATCTTTTCTTTCTTCTCAATCAACTTGGTTTTTCTCACTGTGAAGACAGGCTTTTTGGCTCCTCAGTTACTTTAAAAGAACATGGCCACCAAAAAATTGCAGCTTTGTAGGACCTCAGAGTTCAAGTAGAGTAACCAGACTATACTAGCACCTTAGTTGAATTCTAAATCCCAAGAAGAGGCTTCAGTTGGCTTAGAGTCAGCCAGATTCCATTCTGTGGCCTGCCTGGGTCAACTTGGGGAGATCATAAAGGATGGTGGGGGGAGGAGTCTGGTCAGAAAAAAACTGTACGTATCGACTGCAGTATATTTTGGTCTTCATTCCATGTTGGTGCATTCTTTTTAAAGGCTATAAAACAGTCTACTGCATTTAAAAGTTAGAAGACATTATACACATTTAGATTATTTCCAGTGTTTCATTATTGCAAGCAATATAGCAATGAACAATTATTTACATTATACATCATGGAATTCGGGGGGTCATAGAATATGAACATTTGAAATTTTCATATATATTTCATATATATTACCACTTTGCCCTATAAAAAGGGCAAGGTATATATGTGATGTGATACTTCCACATGTATACCTGTACTAGACGTTTCCATTCGTTTTCAGCTTTGCCAAACATTTTTCCCAAACATGTTGAGGAAAGAAAAGATATTTATTTATCTATTTGACAATATTTAATGGTCATTTATTTTGTACCAAGTCTCTGAGGACATGCAATTACAGCAGAAAACAAAACAAACCCCCTGACCCCATGGAACACTAAACAGAGGGCAGTTACATCAATGTAAATGATGAGTGCTAGGAAGGAAAATAAAGAAGTGTCAGATGATTCGGCAGGTTTGGGCAGAGCTCGCTGTTTTAATTGTGGTGGTCAATAGGATGCCATTCAAGCTGAAAACGGAAGTAAGGGTAAAAGCTGGACAGACATCTGGGGAAAGGCCATCCAGGTCCCAGGGAAGTAGCATGCCTGGCACATTCAATGAAGAGCAAGGAGGGTGGGGAGGCTGGGGCAGAGTGAGCAAAGGGGAGAATAGGATAATATATCAGGGTAGGACCTAGGGAATATCGTTATCATGATTGCAAGCCTTCTGCACTGTCTGTAATAATATTATTATTTTTTGAGTCGGAGTTTCGCTCTTGTTGCCTAGGCTGGAGTGTAATGGTGAAGTCTCAGCTCACTACAACCCCTGCCTTCCAGGTTCAAGTGATTCTCCTGCCTCAGCCTCCCGAGTAGCTGGGATTACAGGCGCCCGCCATCACGCCCGGCTAATTTTTGTATTTTCAGTAGAGACAGAGTTTCACCATGTTGCCCAAGCTGGTCTCGAACTCCTGACCTCAGGTGATCCGCCCACCTCGGCCTCCCAAAGTGCTGGGATTACAGGCGTAAGCCACCGCGCCCGGCCTGTAATAATATTAACAACAGCAAAAGATCATTTTGCAGGCCAGGCACGGTGGCTCACACCTGTAATCCCAGGACCTTGGGAGGCTGAGGAGGGAGATTGGCTGGATCCCAGGAGCTCGAGACCAGCCTGGGCAACTGGGCGAAACCCATCTCTACCAAAAATTAGGCGGGCGTGGTGGCGCACGACTGTATTCCTAGCTACTCAGGAGGCTGAGGTGGGAGGATTGCTTGAGCCCCATTGGTCGACGCTGCAATGAGCGGTGATCGCGCCACCGCACTCCAGCTTGGGTAACATAGCGAGACCCTGTCCCCGCCCGGCTAAAAAAAAATCATTTTGAAATTGCAACCTCCCATCTCCATCTGTAACAACTCCCCGTTCTCAGCTCAACTGATAAGTAACCTCTAGATATGGCTGTAGTACAAGAATGAAAGGAGGTACTCATTCATAAATCTGATCCATAGTGGTGGCATTTCCGGGAAAAACGTTCCATACCCCCACCATACCGGCGACCCTATTTGCACCTGGCTGACCAGGCAATGGGAGAAAGGAGCAGCGCCTGCGCAGTGGTGAGCGCGGCCCCGCCCAGCCCGCTAGTGGGCGGGGAGAAATTGGCCACAGAGTAGTCTCCGGAAGCTGCCGCTGGCTACCCTGTTAACGTGTCCCGCGAGTGAGGCGCGTCGCAAAAGGTCGCGGCGGAACTTCCCTGCGCTTTTCAGACCATACGCTTTACGGTATTAGGCATTGCTGAGCTGGGAGATGTCGGCAGCGGGTTGGGAGGAACCGTGGGGTCCTCCCGGCGGCTTTGCGAAGCGGGTCCTGGTGACCGGCGGTGCTGGTTTCATGTAGGTAATGGCCAAGCAGTGGCTCCCCAGAAACCCCAACCTTTTCCCGCAGCTCTGCTTGCCCTAGGCAATTTGGGTCCAGCTTTGAGGGGTCCTTATTCTGATGGGAGGGTCCTAATGCACGACCTAGACCAGCTTTTCTCTCCCTGGCGTGCAAAGAAGTGGTTCCTTTGAAACTGTGACTTCTTTAAAACGCCTCTTCCAAATCTGTGTTAGTCTTGCCCTTCTGTGGCCCGAGGTGCTCACCACGTCACTCCTTGAGTGCGTGCAAGTTAACCTAAGTTGCTCACCGACTGCTTCCCACCCCCATCCTAGAGCACCCCCACCCCACGGTGGGCCCTGTACACATAGGCACCCCAAAAACGATTTGAGGATTATAATAGGACATCCAAACATTTACACATCCACTGTTGACACCCTTTTCTTCCTCAGACCCACATTCGATCAGCAAGCCCTCTCTGCTTCCAAAGTATATCCTTACGGCGACCACTTCCCACCACTTTCCCCTTTCCACCCTAGCCCATGTTTACCGTCATCTTTTGCCTAGACTGCTGCTGTAGCCTCCTGGTTGGCCATAACTGCGTCCACGCATGTTCCTTTAAAGCCTGTTGCTCACATACAAGTCAGTGTTTCTTAATCAGGTCATGTTAGGAGCAGGATTTTACTTCAGTGGTTCCTGCCACACTTAGAATAAAGCCCGAACTCTACCATATGTAGAAAACTCAAGTGCCCAAGCCCTACTTTTGCAACGTGATCTGCTTTTCTGTACCTGCCATGCTTCCCCTCTTACAGTTCTTGGAACACACCAAGACACACACTTCTATCTTGAGGGCTTTGCACTTGCTTCCCCTTTCGTAAGGCTGTTTGCATCACTCAATTCCGGTTTTTATCCAGATATCACCTCCTCAGAGAGTTCTTACCTGACCACCATATCTAAAATAGCCTCTTTCCCAACTAGCACACTTACCTCTACCTGCAATTATATTGCGGATTTGTGTCTGCTTGTTTATTGTTTGTATCCCCACTCTAAAATGCAAACATGGTAAGGACAGAGAATACTGTTCACTCAGCACCTGGAAGAATGCCTGGCCCATTCTATATAAGTCTTTAGTCATTGTGGAATGGATGAATGCAAGAGTAATAAACAGGAAACTCTCCCATCCTCCCCTCAAGGAACTCTGTGTCTAGTGGAAGAAAAGGGAATGTGAGGATTCCTGTTTATGGCCATTTGCACATTAAATCACCCTTCTAATCTGACAAATCACTTGGGGGACAGCATCAGGCTGGCAAGTTTCACTTAATGAGAAAGAGGACTATGGGCATGAAAGGGTAATACTTGTGTGAGTGTGCAGGTCCGGGAAGGGGGCGACGTAGAAAGTGCTGTGAAAGGAATGCCAACTACAACTCCAAGTTCATAATTTGGTCAAGGGCTGCCCTTTCCTGGGAGCCCAACATTTTAAGTATATATGGTAAATCTGGTAGATCATTTCACTGAGATATGCCTCTGATTCCCCTTTAGGGTCCTCTGAAGCTCAGGACCCACAGTGGATATCCAACTCAGGATAGTTTCAGCTGTTACTAGCCTGGGAATCCTGGGTTCAGTCTAGAACCCTCCTGAGGATTCTAGTTTAACATTACCAAAATCTTATACCAAGAAATAGCAATTGCAGAAGTTACTATTAAATATAGACAACTGACTATGCTCATAGTAATTTAATTTTTACATACTTATATCTGCAGTTCCTGAAAAGGCATGCTATAGGCATGTACAGTTGTGCTGACTGGCTCCCATTTATCGTTCCACTTTACTCCACACTTGTGCATGTATGGATGGCATCATTTGGTTAAACTGACTTTTTTCCCTATACCCAGAACCAGTACGTTCTCTCTTCTACATAGTCTAAATGGAATGTAAAACTTTTGTTTATAGATACTGTTGAGAAGTTTGGTAAAAAGTTTGCTTGTGTGTATATTTAGTATAGTTATATTGTTTTCTGTTATCTTAGAAAAAAGTTAAAGTTATCTTTGAGTATTTTCCTAGTACTCAACATCTTAGGAAAATATTCAAGAGTTTAGGGAACTTAAAATTTTTCACTAACAAGATATACTTTTTTTTTTTTAATAGTGCATCACATATGATTGTCTCTTTAGTGGAAGATTATCCAAACTATATGATCATAAATCTAGACAAGGTGAGTTTTATAAAAATGAGCTTCATGCACTGAAATTACATTTCAATTTATATTTTTTAAAAGTATTAGAATCCTGTCATGCTGATATTTTAATTTTTTATTTAGTCATTTTAGCAATTTAGAGGCTCTATATTATAATGTGCTTATGCTGTATTTAATCTTATATGTCAGTTTTTGAAACTTGCATTTCTTATGGTGGTCCACAAAGTAAAGTTTTTGTTTTGTTTTTTCAGTTGCTACCTTGCAAATGGACTTTTTGGATTTTCATTAAAAAAAAACTCTAAGAAAAATGTGTAAGGCAGTTTGGTGATTATAAGCCTTAATTGGATTTTTTTGTCTATTTTTTAATTGACATATCTTAGCTGTACTTGCTATGGGGCATATGGTGATGTTTTGATACATGTATACAATGTGTAATGATCACATCAGGGTAATTGGGACATCCATCATAAGAATAACCCTTAACTCTTATGAAGCTTTGCCTGACTTGCTATTAGGGACAGGAATTTTTTTCTATATCACCAATATACCAACAGTTTGAGGAATAGGTATAATAAATTCTAATATGTGTAACACAGGTGTAATTATTTTCAATCACTAATTCCTTTTCTGTAAGAAATGGTAAACTTTTCTAGCCACCAGTGGCTACAGGCAAATTTTGGCAGAAACATTTTTCTGTGTGTTTGTTTGAGATGGAGCCTTGCTCTGTCACCAGGCTGGGTTGCAGTGACACAATCTCAGCTCACTGCAACCTCCACCTCCCGGGTTCAAGCGATTCTCCTGCCTCAGCCTCCTGAGTAGCTGGGATTATAGGCACGCCACCAAGCCCAGCTAAATTTTGTATTTTTAGTAGAGATGGGGTTTCACCATGTTGGCCAGGATGGTCTCAATCTCTTGACCTTGTGATCTGCCTGCCTCAGTCTCCCAAAGTGCTGGGATTACAGGCATGAGCCACCACCCCCAGCCAGGAACATTTTTCAAAGTAGAGATTTATGAAAAGGTTTTTGTTTTGTTTTTTGGTACTTTGAAAAGGTAACAAAATTACTTGTTTTTTACTTTTAAGATATCAGAAACTTAAAATGTGTAAAAACAGGCCAGCGCGGTGGCTCACGCCTGTAATCCCAGCACTTTGGGAGGCTGGGGCAGGCGGATCATGAGGTCAGGAGATCGAGACCATCCTGGCTAACACGGTGAAACCCTGCTTTTACTACAAAATACAAAAAATTAGCTGGGCCGTGGTGGCTGGTGCCGGTAGTCCCAGGTACTCCGGAGGCTGTAAAACCAGGGAGCAAACACACTTTAAGAGGACATATTCTTGTATTATAACCATTAACGTCTATAGTCTAAAATAAATTGGTATTTGATTGGAAAAGCTAATGTCACTTTTTGTATTGCCCCTTCTGTGCTCTCTTCTTTCAAGTTGGATTACTGTGCAAGCTTGAAGAATCTTGAAACCATTTCTAACAAACAGAACTACAAATTTATACAGGTATGAACATTTTCATGTAATTGTACTGTGACTCTTTAGTCATGCAGGGATTATAGTATCTTTGTACTTTACAAACCTGTGTAATATGAGCGTGAAAGGAACACTAATTAAAGGCCTTTTAAAAGATCAGATAGTTAATTTCCAAAAGTACCATGTGCTCTAGAGGATACTAGTTTTGATTGACAACACATACAAAGCTACGTGTGATTTTTGGTACCTTAGCAGATCTACCAGTAGCTGACTGAATTTACATGGTTTGTATTTTAGTTCCTCCCTAGTCTTTCCCTATGAAGGTTGATTGACTCTGGAAGTCTCATTTTTAGACAAATCCAAAGTATAAACCACAAGACCAGTTCAATAATTTGCAAAGGGAAATGTTATTGTCAAATGAAACTATTTAACTTATGATATATTGTTTTTTAAAGTTATGCTATAAACTTTTTAACTACAAAACTTAATATACTAACAACCATTTCATAATTCTGTGTGAAAGTATTTTCTTCAGCTATTGACGAATTGTCAAGAATACATATTTTTAGAAGAATTAAATGTACATGTAATCGTTAGAAGTACCATAATTTTACTTAATTGTGATAAAATGTGTTTTCAAAATATGATTCCAGTTGTTACACTATATTTTTTTGAGACAGAGTCTCGCTCTCTTGCCCAGGCTGGAGTGCAGTGGCATGATCTCGGCTCCCTGCGACCCCTGCCTCCTGGGTTCAAGCAATTCTCTTGCTTCAGCCTCCCTACTAGCTGGGATTACAGGCACCCGCTACCATGCCTAGCTAATTTTCATGTTTTTAGTAGAGACAGAGTTTCACCATGTTGGCCAGGCTGGTCTCAAACTCTGGACCTCAAGTGATCCACCCATCTCAACTTCCCAAAGTGCTGGGATTACAGGCGTGAGCCACTGCACCCTGCCTAAGATATATTTTAATAATGGTTATCTCAAAGGTTTTTTTAAAAATGCTAAAAAAAAGTTTTCTCTTAATATAGTGGCCTTGGGTTGGCAAAAATGTTGTGGACAACAGTAGCATGGTACTTAGTAGTTGTTGGTGCTCATTAAAATATTATTTGGAAAAATAATTTGAATTGAATATCTAATATCCTAAGATGCTGGAGAAATACATCATTGGTATACTTGTTTGAGCACTTAGTTGAATTTTCAAAACATTCCCTATTAAACAGGGAGGTGGGAGGTAGGGGGATGTTATAGTAAAAATGATTATGAATGAGAGTGCTCAATGAAACCTAACCCTTTCATGTTTGCTTTTTCATATAGGGTGACATATGTGATTCTCACTTTGTGAAACTGCTTTTTGAAACAGAAAAAATAGATATAGTACTACATTTTGCTGCGCAAACACATGTAGGTAAGCATTGTTTTATGTTACAGTTATGATTGGCAGTTCTCTCCCAGCCCCTGCCCCACTGCCCCCACCCACATACTTAATAATACTTATATTTGAAAGAGGATATATCATACTGTACTAGAAAAACAGCCACTGTGTCATCAATAAACTCAGCACTTTTTAGATACTTTTATTAGCATTGCAAGGCTGTATTAGTGAAATATAACCTTGAATGCTATCTGAAAACTTGAGTTGAACCAATTCAGGATAGTAAAGGGGAGCAGTGGGGAGATGGGCCATGAACTGTATTTTTTACATTGTTTTTCTTAAATTTTGTTGTGGTATGCAGATGAACATTATTTCTATCATTTTGTGAATTTTAGATATTTTCTAATAACTTGACAGTTTTATTATGAAATATATTTGAAAGCGTTTAGAAATACAGTCAAATAATGATAATGTGAGCACTCATGTATCTGTCACCTGAACAAAAGACAGAATGTTGCTGAATCCTCTTCAGTAGTAAGTACTACTGCTACCTATTACGAGATTTAAAGTTGTAATTTCCTTTGCTTTTCTCTACACTTTTGCTGTTGTGTGTATATATACATATATATACGTATATATATTTATATATATACGTATATATATATATAATGACTTTTTTTGTTTTTTCAGAATCCGTGTAGATTCATCCATGGAGGCAGATATAGATATAGTTTGTTTTCAGTGTCATTCCAGTCTAAAAAATATATATATATATACACCGTAGTTTACTTAATATACTTTATTCTTAATGGCCATTTGGGTTCTTTACACTTTGGAGCAACTTTGAACACTACTACCTTGAACATGTATCATGATACATAAATATACATTACATTTGGCTATATAACTGAGATAATAAGATCTGCATATTTCACGTTGAGATAATGTCAAACCATGTTCCAAAGTAATTATACCAACTTCCACTCCTCCAGAAGTATGTGACTTCCTGTTGCTCCAGATCTCACCAAAGCTTAGTTTTGTCAGTCTTTCCATTTTTGCCAATTTCAGTGCTGTGTAGTGGTGTCTCATGTTTCTAATTTGTATTTTCCCTGATTACTAATAAGATTAAGTACTTTTCATATGGTTTTTTGTAATTTGGATTTCTCCTTTGTGAAATGCTGTTGCAATCTTTTGTCCATTTTAAAATGGGATTGTTTACCTTTTTCTCATTGAAAGAGAAGTTTCAATAAGAAAAAATGGCAAGTAGAGTTTTTATATATTCAGGACACTAGTTCTTTGTCATTCTGTATGTTACAGATGCCTTCTACTCTGTATGGCCTATCTTCTCACTTTCTTGATAGTGTGTTTTGATGAACAGACGTTTTCAATGTCGGTGTAGTGAATGTGTGTTTTTTCCTTTATGCTTACTGCTTTTTCAGTTCTTAAATTCTCTCCTACCCCGAAGTCATGAAGATAGATTTTTCTATATTATCTTTTCAAAGCTTTATAATTTTGTCTTTTACAATTAGATTTGTAATCCATCTGAAATTAATTCTTATATAACACCAATTTCATGTGAATACCAATTGTTCCTGTACCATTTACTGAAAAGTTTACCAGTTCCTACCCTCTGTCATATCAAGTTTATTTTTGTATCTCTGTCTCTCTTCATTTGTCTCTGCCTGTCTGATACGCACTATATTGACGAATACAATGATTTCATGTCTGTTAAAGCAAATCTTTCTACTTGGTTAATGATAAAAGCAGTTGTGCACTTCTACCAGCAATTTATGAGATATTTGCCAACAGTTGCTGTGTCAGTTTTGTGGTTTTAGTTTTCCTGATGAAGTTAAAAACCTTTTCATTTGTTCATTGGACTATTCTCCTTCTCTTTCTTATTAGGATATCCTCTTTGGAAAAATTTCTATTTAAATTTCGTGACCATTTCGTATTAGGTTGTCAGTTTTTTCCTTACAGATTTTATGTATTTTGGATTCAAGCCTTTTGCAGCTACATTTTTTTTTTTTTTTTTTTTTGAGACCGAGTCTCACTCATTGCCCAGGCTGGAGTGCAATGGCACGATCTCGGCTTACTGCAACCTCTGCCTCCTGGATTCAAGCGATTCTCTTGCCTCAGCCTCCCGAGTAGCTGGGATTACAGGCATGCGCCACCACGCCTGGCTAATTTTGTATTTTTGGTAGAAATGGGGTTTCACCACATTGGCCAGGCTGGTCTCGAACTCCCAACCTCAGATGATCCACCCTACTCAGGTGATGCACCCACCTCAGCCTCCCAAAGTGCTGGGGTTACAGGCGTGAGCCACCACTCCCGGCCTTTTCCCATTTTTAATGGTATCTTATTATTAGTGAAAGTTCTTAATTTCAATGTGGGTTAAATTATCTGTACCTTTTTCGTTAGGGTTAGTGCTCTTTCTCTCTTGATTAAGAACTCGTTTCCTACCTCCAAGGTCATGGACATGTTGTCTTATAATTCTTTTCTTAAAAGTTACTGTTTTTCCTTTTACATTTAGATTTCTTCCTCATATCCATATCAATTTGACTCAAAATCATTTATTGAAAAGACTTGACTCTTCCTCATTGTCTCTTTTGTCATGGGTCAAGTGTTTTTATATGTATGCTTCTATTTCTCAGCTCTGTTCAATTCCGTTGGTCTTTGTCTGTGCTTATACTATTATCACACCATCTTAATTACTGTAGCTTTATAATAATGCTTTATATCAACAAAGCAAACCTCCCACCCTGTTGTTCCAAAAAACAACATTTGACATTTGACGTTGTTGTTCCAAAAAAACAATCTTTGATATTGTTGATCTTTTCTTATGCTTGGTTTGTTTTCTATATAATGAATTTCTGGTCTTACCTTTATTATTTCATTATTTGTGCTTTGTTTAGGCTTACTTTCTATTCTTTTTTCTAATCTTTGTGATATATTTAGCTTATTAATTTTCACCTTTTCTCTAATATATACATTTTAGACTATGAATTTACTTCTAAATACTGCTTTATCTGAATCCCACAGATTTTCATATGTATTTTTTCCTTATCTTTTATTCTTAAGAGTTTGATTTCTTGCTGGCTGCGGTGGCTAACACCTGTAATCCTAGCACTTTGAGAGGCCAAGGCAGGCGAATCACTTGAGCCCAGGAGTTCCAGACCAGCCTGGGCAACATGGTGAGATCCTGTCTCTACAAAAAATAATAATAATAAATAAAACCCGGCATGATGGTGTGTGCCTGTAGTCCCAGCTACTTGGGAGGCTGAGGTGAGAAGATCTCTTGAGCCCAAGAGGCGAGGTTGCAGTGAGCTGAGATTGCACCCCTGCATTCCAGCCTGGGCAACAGAATGAGACCTTGTCTCAAAAAAGAAAAAAAAGAAAAAAAGAAGTTGATTTATTCTTTAATCCATGGGTTACTTAGACATGTATGTCTTAATTTCCAAACATGTATGGATTTTCTTTTTCTTATTGAATTCTAGCTTAAATGTATGTGATTAGATAACATACTCTATGATTGTAGTCCTTTATGCTACAACTTGCTTTTTGGCTCAGTATATGGTCACTTTCTGTAACTTGTATATGTATTGAAAAAAATGTTAATTTGCAAACATTGGGTTCATTGTTCTTTACACATCCATTAGGTTAAGTTGGTTAATGATGTTCTTTAAATCTCTTGTGTATTTCTGGTGAATAGAACCTTTTATCCTTATGAAGTGATCTCTTTCCCCTGGTGATGTGTACTGCTTTAAAATCTGTTTTGTTTGACATTAATATAGCTGTGTTACTTCCTTTTTGGTTAGTATTTTCATGATACTTTTTCCATCTTTTTATTTCTCTAGCTTTACGGGTTAGCTGCATGTCTTGTAAACAACATGTATTTGGATTTTGATTTTTTTTAAACCCATTCTGACCATCCTTGATATTTACCCTCAGTGTTTAGTTTGTTGCTATATTTGGATTTATTCCTACCATCTTACTGTGTGCTTTCTTTTCTCACCTGTTCTGTTTCCTTGGTTGCTGCTTACTTTTTTTTTAAAAAAAGAATTCTTCCTTTGTAAAAATTGTTTATTTTTTAAAAATTCTTGCTTACTTTTTTTAAGGACTTGACTGAGGAATTTTTCTTATTCTCTTTTTCTCCCTCTACTAGTTTGGAAATTATATGTTCTGTTGGTACTCTTGGAGTGGTTACCCTACAAATTACAGATGTGTAATTAGCTTATCAAAGTGTAAAGTTCATCAAAACCTTTGTCCTCTTCCCATTTAATTTCCAACTCCATTTTTAGCTATTTTTAACTCTGTTTTTATCTGTTTTTTTGTTTTGTTTTGTTTTTTAAGGCAGAGTCTTGTTCTGTCACCCAGGCTGGAGCGCAGTATTGTGATCTCAGCTCACTGCAACCTCTGCCTCCCAGGTTCAAGCAGTTCTCATGCCTCAGCCTCCCAGGTAGCTGAGATTACAGGCATGTGCCACCACGCCTGGCTTATTTTTTGTATTTTTAGTAGAGATAGGGTTTTGCCATATTGGCCAGACTGGTCTCAAACTCCTGACCTCAGGTGATCCACCCACCTGGGCCTCCCAAAGTGCTGGGATTATAGGCATTAGCCACCATGTCCAGCCTGGAATTTTAAATTGATCTTATTTTTTTATTCCCACTAGATGTCATTATTACTACTTTATATAGTCAGTAGTCATTATATTAGGGGTTTACAAAATGATATTCTAATTATGTCATTCTTCATTTATACGTGTAATATCTACATAAAAACAAGTTTTCCAGCCAGGCGCAGTGGCTCACGCCTGTAATCCCAACACTTTGGGAGGCTGAGATGGGTGGATTACCTGAGGTCAGGAGTTCAAGACCAGCCTAGCCAACATGGTGAAACCCCGTCTCAAAAATACAAAAACATTAGCTGGGCGTGGTAGTGGGCACCTGTTACCCCAGCTACTCGGGAGGCTGAGGCACAAGAATCGCTTGAACCTGGGAGCCAGAGTTTGCAGTGAACTGAGATTGTGCCACTACACTCCAGGCTGGGCAACAAAGAGAGAGAGAGAGAGAGAGAGAAAGTTTTTCTTATAAATTATTTGCTTACCTTGATATTTAATTGTTATAGAAAAGCCAGGTTAAATACCTGATTATTTTTATTTATTTAGTAGATTTTACTATAATGAGTTGGTTTCCAAGCATCCTCCTTTTTCTTTTTTCTTTTTTCTTTTTTTTAGTATCGTTATGAATTTGTAGATTTTAACACATTTGATTTTTTTTTGTTTGTTTTAATCACTTGCAGTTATTTTTCTTATTTATGTTCAAAATGACTCACCATTAGCCATTGAGAGGCTCTTCTAGTTGCTTCCTGAGTCCTTTTTGACATGACCTTAGCAGTCTTTGACAGCCATCTAACTTTCTGGTTTGATAGGATGTTTCAGTTTTATCTTCAATATTTTTCCCCCCAAGATCTGGAATCAGCTCTTTGTCTCAGGAGCCATTGTTCCTTTTGGTGGGAAATGGTGTTTAGAGGCCACAATCTGGGCCCTGGGAGTGCTTATTAACGGGACATTGTTTCAAGGCTTTTTCAGTTAACAAAACTAGGGAATATTATTTGCCTATTAAGATTAAATGTGACATGGGTTTATACTGAAATGTCCAATTCAGATTCAGAGTTTTTGTTTAAGTTCATCAGTCTTTCATTTATATCATCTTTTCCTTACCTTGAACACCTTGGTTCTCAACAGCACCACCCTAATTACTTATTTACTTTATTCCAGAACACACAATGAGTCCACATTTCTTCTTTTAAGGACACCAGGTAGATTGGATTAGGACCCATCCTAAAGACCTGATTTTCACTTAATCACCTCCTTAAGAGCCCTATCTCCAAATATAGTCACATTCTGAGGTTCTGGGGGAAAGGGTTGGACCTTAAGATGAATTATGGGGAGAACACAATTTAGCCCATAACTCTGGATTAGAGGGAAATGCCTATGTAATTTGACTGGATATTTCCAAGTTTCCTTCCTTAGGGATTGTAAACATTTTACATTGTTATTGTCAGTGTACAAAGTATCTTTTGTCTAACAGCCTCAACAAATAAGTGATTTGTCAAATTTTTGAATTTTTGCCAGTCTGATAAGAAGTGATATCTCTGAGTTTTTAATTTGGGTTTTTTTAATTGTATGTGAGGTTGATCATCATAATCTTAAGGACTCATTTGTATTTCTTCATCTAAACTGTTTATATCGCCTACCTGTTTTACTGTAGGATTGTTCTTATTTATTTAAAGTTCTTTATAAGTTGACGATACTTAACCCTTTATCTCTGTAATTTCACGTGTTTTTTCCCAGTTTGTCATTTTTGTCTTTTTAATTTGTTTTTAGTTTTTTAACCATGCAAAATTTTTATGCGGTCAAATTTATCCGTCTCTTCCATTATTGCTTCTGGATTGTGATTCATCGTTAAGGAAGTTCCTTCCATTTCCTGGTTATAGAGGTTCAGTTCTTTTAAGGTGAATTTATTTTTAAATAACTCATTCAACATTTATTGCTTTCAGCAGTAACAGATTGATCTTAAAAAGCCTAGCCCTGTAATTCATAATTTTTAAATTTAAGAACGTTTTAAATTTCGGTGAATTATTTTTAAATTTTCTTCCTTATAGAATAAAAAACTTTCCTGCAAATTTAACACTGATAGTTTTCTGGGTTCTAAGAATTTGCATGTACTATGTAATTTAGGTTTAAAGAAGTCATAAATATCACTGCCTGTGTATGTTATTACTATAACTGTTGCAGCTGTGGTAAATGAAGAGACGTGAATAGTACCCTCCTTAAACCTGAAGCCATCATTTGGCATTTGTTTTATCCATTGGATAGACTTGTTTTAGCTTTTCACTCTTTTCTTTTTAGATCTTTCATTCGTACGTGCCTTTGAGTTTACCTATGTTAATGTTTATGGCACTCACGTTTTGGTAAGTGCTGCTCATGAAGCCAGAGTGGAGAAGTTTATTTACGTCAGCACAGATGAAGTATATGGTGGCAGTCTTGATAAGGTGAGCTTAGAAAATGTATATTTTATCTGCTTCACCATGTACCATGATACAGTTTTATTAAACCTACACTGGGCTTTTTTCATCCTCAAATTATATACACTTATAACACTCTTCAAAGTGTTTTAGGATTCTGTAGAGGGACAGAACTGAATAGAATAGACAGATATATAAAGGGGTATTTATTAAGTATTAACTCACACCATCACAAGGTCCCACAACAGGCCATCTGCAAGCTGAGGAGCAAGGAGAGCCAGTCTGAGTCCCACAGTTGAAGAACCTGGAGTCAGATGTTCGAGGGCAGGAAGCATCCAGCATGGGAGAAAGATGTAGGCTGGGAGGCTAGGCCAGGGTAGTCTATTCATGTTTTTCTATCTGCTTTATATTCTAGCCACACTGGCAGCTGCTTAGATGGTGCCCACTCAGATTGAGGGTGGCTCTGCCTTTCCCAGCCCAGTAACTCAAATGTTAATCTCCCTTGACAACACCCTCACAGACACACCTAGGATTAATACTTTGTATCCTTCAATCCGATCAAGTTGACAGTGTTAACCATCACAGAATGTTATTGCATTGTCTCCTCTGTTCAGATCAAGTGATACCGCCCCAAATGGGGAACAACAGCCTAGTCTTGGTAGAGACTTACTTATTTATTTTTTCATGCCCCAGAAATCTCTTTAGGTAGATTTATTTGTAATTTTGCAAGAGAATTGCAGATCTCACCTTTTTGTCCCACTCTTACACATATGATGAATGTCATTCCATGGACCAAAGCATAAGTTACACTGCAGCATACTACCTGTTCATCTTTCCCTTTCAGTCATATCTTTCCCTTTCAGTCATATTGGAATGTCAAGGAGACAGTGTAAAATTCTTGTAAAAACCAAAATCTTTTTTTTTTTTTTTTTTTTTTTTTTGAGATGGGAGTTGCGCTCTTGTTGCCCAGGCTGGAGTGCAATGATGCAATCTTGGCTTGCTGCAACCTCCATCTCCCGGGTTCAAGTGATTCTCCTGCCTCAGCCTCCCAAGTAGCTGGGATTACAGGCATGCGCCACCATGCTCGGCTAATTTTGTATTTTTAGTAGAGATGGGGTTTCTCCATGTTGGTCAGGCTGGTCTCGAACTCCCAACTTCAGGTGATACGCCTGCCTTGGCCTCCCAAAGTGTTGGGATTATAGATGTGAGCCACTGTGTCCAGACTTAGAATCTATTTTTTTAAATCATGCATAAATATTGTACTTTTTATGCAAAGGAAACTCCATTGTCCAATCTATAATTTTTATAGTTGGGGTCTGCAGTGACCTCATTTTGTTTATTATTTATGAATTTACTTATTTTACCAAGACACATACACAGTGAAAATCAAATAGTCCAAAAAGACTGACAGTGAGAAAAAGTAGACCTTGACCACTTCTCAGTTCTCAATTCTGCTTCCAAGAAGTAACTGTTTTTCAATTCTCTGCAGTTGTTATCAGGTAAACTTCTTTGTTCATGCACCCTGCCACCCTACATCAGATCCGACACAGTAACCAGAGTGATTTTTAAAATGTAAGTCAGACCTGGCATTACTCTGCTCAAAAATCAGTCATTGTTTTACGGTGGCCTTCAAGGTTTTGGCCTTCCTCTAGCTCTCTGACATCCTCTCCCACGGTCTCTCCCCTCATATCAGCCTTCCTGCAATTCCTTTGGACACGCTTCTGTCTCAGGGCCCTTAACTTGCCGTTCTTTCTCTCTGCTATTTAGGATTGTTGTGCACATTAAAGAAGCTACTACATGTCCTTGGGAAAACACCAGGCACGTAGGATTTAAGAAGCGGTTTTTAAAATTTGGTGATTGACATTTCAGGTTTTAACATATGCTCTGATTTTTATACTAAAAATATGCATAATTTTTAAAATATGTTTAAAATTAGGAATTCGATGAATCTTCACCCAAACAACCTACAAATCCTTACGCATCATCTAAAGCAGCTGCTGAATGTTTTGTACAGTCTTACTGGGAACGATATAAGGTAAGACCTGATTGCAGAAACTCTTGAAACATTTTCCTTTGGACCTAAGTGTTAAAACTCCAAGTGGGCTTTTTTTTTTTTTTTCCTAAAGATTTTTAAGTTTTCTATTTATTCTTCGGAGACAGTCTCGATCTGACACTCAGGCTGGTCTCAAACTCCTGACCTCAAGTGATCCACCCACCTCGGCCTCCCAGAGTGCTAGGATTACAGGCGTGAGCCACGCCCAGCCCAAGTCAGCTTTTAGCAGCATGCTTAGAGTAGAAGGCATAGATTGAGAAAATTTACATATTATGGAATTTTAAAAACTAATTTCCTCTATTGTGTGGACAAAGTAGGACCTACCTCTTCTTACTCAGTTCATCATTAAAGGAATAACTTGAATATACATTGTTTTTCTATTTCGGTAATAGGTAGAGTGTTACAGCTAGAGTCAGAATGAGGTTGGAGTCCTATGAGTGGAGGAAGACAGAGGGAGGACAGATCCCCTTTCTGCCGTGTGCTTCTCTCTGCATGATTTGGCTTTTGTGGCTCCTCATGAATGGGAAGTAGACTTGCCCCTGGTGGCTCTGACAGTGTCGGTATGGGAGCCTTACCCCATATGAATCCTCACCTTGAATCTCCTACATTTGGCTTCCCACTGCTCTTGGTGAGTTTTTAGGGTGTGGGTCAGAGAGGCAAGCCTTGGAATTCCTAAAGATTCTCTCACCATTTGGGTTCTGGTGGCATCGGTCCTTTTCACTTTCATCGTAGCTCTTTTTATTTGTAGGGATTGGTACAATGAAGAGAGCCAATTTAGAGTCCTTGAGGTGGTCTTTAAAATAATCAGCTGGAAAGTTCTTCAGTGTTTTGCTATCAATCAGACTTATAAACCTGTGCCATCTGTGTTCGTCTTCTTGTACTAATAAAAGAATGTTCCTCTTCTTTTTTTTGGAACCTCTGCCTTTATCTGAATCCTGTTCTCTCCTTTCTAGAAACCTTACGTTAGAAAAAAATCTCTTCCCTTTGACCTTAAGGTGTGTAGAATTATTTAGGCAACAGTGCCCATATTTTGAAATTCTGCTCATCTTTAAAATAATCATCATTATTAGACCTTTTCAAAAGCCTTAATGTTGAATATTCTTTTAAGTTTCCAGTTGTTATCACAAGAAGCAGTAATGTTTATGGACCACATCAATATCCAGAAAAGGTAAACTTTACTTCTTCATTCATGGTGTTTTTCAGTGATTGTAACTTCTCATTATTTGAAATAACCTCTTTTCAGTTATTTGTCAAAATAATATGTTGTAAATTTTACATAATTTTATATGCTGTATAACACCTCTTGCAGATTCCTTCAGACTTAGAGATTGAAGATGAGTTTTAAGTCTCAAGCTGGCTGACACTCACCAGCTGGCTTCACCACTTGGCAGAGATTTTGAAGGATCCAATGAGAATGATATATGTGAAAATACCTTGTACCTTTAAAGACTTTAAAGCATTGTAGTATACTTCTACCACTACTGACATGCTGTAGTTGACTCCTTGTTTGCAGTTAGACCAGTATGTCAGGGTATACAGAAAGTCAAAAGCTAGCTAGCTAGTGATGCAAGAAGCTTGTATACATTAACTGTCTTAGTGTCAGCTGGCTAACTGTGCCTCAACTTATCTTTATAGTGTAGGCATGAATATCTTCCAGAAAGTACTACAAGTAATGAATAAAAAAATTTAGTTTAGAGGCTGAAAATGCCTGTGTGGTTGGTTCTGTATCATCAAGTCTGATTTTACATAACTTTGGCCACTCGGCCTAAATTTGGAGACTGGGTTTTTCTTTTTTCTTTTCTTTTGGTTTCTTTTTTTTTTTGAGAGGGAGTCTCGCTCTGTCGCCCAGGCTGGAGTGCAGTGGCGTGATCTCGGTTCACTGCAAGCTCCGCCTCCAAGGTTCATGCCATTCTCCTGCCTCAGCCTCTCAAGTAGCTGGGACTACAGGCGCCCGCCGCCATGCCCAGCTAAGTTTTTGTATTTTTAGTAGAGATGGGGTTTCACTGTGTTAGCCAGGATGGTCTCAATCTCCTGACCTCGTGATCCGCATGCCTCCGCCTCCCAAAGTGCTGGGATTACAGGCGTGAGCCACCGCGCCCGGCTGGGTTTTCTTGCTTCCCATCTGGTTGCATTGATCTGTTTGCCCAAAGGAAAGGGCCATGTCATGACCTGCAGGTATTAATATTTACTTTGCTTAATTTAAGTTTTCTTTGAATCCAAGAGCACTGGAATTTACTTTCTATAAATTCCTCAAACACTTAGTGCATAGGTGCTATATGTAATCCAGTAAGTAAGATACAAATGTCTGCCTTTATGAAGTCAGCACAAAGGTGAGCCTTATGATGAGACCGACTGTCTGATGAAGACTCTTTCTGCATTTTTCCACTATTTAGATCATTTTATCTTCAAGTAACCTGTCTTCATGAAATAGCAAACTAAGAGTTCTTTTACTTATCAAATATTATAGTAGGTTTTAAAATGAACTGATAAAAAGAATTAGAAGCAATCCCTATGCATATTTCTTAATAATCTTTTAATCTTGGTATGAGTTCAGATTCTTACTAATGAGTAAATTTCCAGTCTGAAATGATATTTAAATATTCTTTTAGGTTATTCCAAAATTTATATCTTTGCTACAGCACAACAGGAAATGGTATGTTATTATTACCTTTTTACCCATATGCTTTTCTGGTATGTTAGAGTATTTGGTGACACTTTCTTGAATATCATAAAGTCTTAAAGGCCACAAAATTTAATGTCCCACCAAATTTAAGAATCATTTCTCCAGTGTAATAGTTTTTAAAATAATCTGTATCTTATTTTTGTAATTTACTTGAGATAATTTCAAATCTTAATAACCTATCATAGAACTTTGAATTATAGCATTAACATTTGAAATCTATTTTTATATAATTTTACTTTCTCAAAGAACTTATTTAATTCATAGAACTGTAGATATTTCTTTAAAATGAACTTCTGGTATAAAATTGAATACACATTTCACAGGGGTCACTAATATGTTTGTCAATTTCCTACTAAGTACCCTCAGAAGGTTTGGAAATTATTTAAGAAATATGAACAAAATTTAGAAAAGCTATGAGAATTTGTATTTTCAGTAAAAGATTCTGGGATCCCCATGGGAAGTGGCTTCTCTGGAGTTGTAGTACCCAGTCAATGCTTTAGGAAACTTTACCTTTTTACACTTCATGATTTCACTTCATTTAATCTCTTTAGTTGCATTCATGGGTCAGGGCTTCAAACAAGAAACTTCCTTTATGCTACTGATGTTGTAGAAGCATTTCTCACTGTCCTCAAAAAAGGGAAACCAGGTGAAATTTATAACATCGGAACCAATTTTGAAATGTCAGTTGTCCAGCTTGCCAAAGAACTAATACAACTGGTATGTATGTATTTTAAAAGGGTGGTATTTTCAAAATTGTTAGTGACAGTAACCATTAATTTAGTCAAAATCAGAAGCATACAGTTTACTTAATTTAAAAGTAAGCAAGTAGAAAATGAAATGGATTATGTGTACCATATGTGTCTTAATTTAAGTTTTATCACCTATTTAGTAACAGCTTTTCAGGAAAAAATAATTCATTAAATGTACTGTCCCTAATTGTAAGACATAACTCATTTTCAGAAATATAAAATTGTGTCTTGAAATAAGTAACTGTGACATATAAAATAATTATATCAGTAGTTATGAATATCCATATATATTAGGGGACATCAATTATAAATTCATTTAATAGAAAGAGGGACTGAATAATAACCAAAATCCAATGTGTATATCTGAGCTTCAGATGGAATTTAGTATAAAGTATAGACAGTGTTACTAAAATGATGTTCATTTTAGCTGTCTTCCCCACTATGAAGCAGTTGTTTTCTTTTTAATCAGCCATTAAATACCATTGTTATTCTCTGATCTCATTTTATAATTTGACTCAAAAACCTTCTCCATTTTAACAGATCAAAGAGACCAATTCAGAGTCCGAAATGGAAAATTGGGTTGATTATGTTAATGATAGGTGAGTAACAAGTTAAAACATTGGGGAAAGGTTGTGAAATCTTAGGTACCTTTAAAGTTATAAAATATGTGGACTTGACCAATAACTAGTTTATCTCTTTTGAATTTTCTGGTAAAACATTTTTTTTCATAATCGTAAGTACCATACAGATTAAGTATAGCATTATTACTTACTAGCTATGTGACTTAAAAAATTATTGACCCTTTCCAAGTCTGAGGTTTCAAACCTCCAGTGTGAACTAGGGATAATAACATCTCTCTCTTTTTTTTTTTTTTTTTGAGACGGAGTTTCACTCTGTCGCCAGGCTGTACTGCAGTGGTGCAATCTTGGCTCACTGCAACCTCCACCTTCCCAGGTTCACACTGTTCTCCTCAGCCTCCCAAGTAGCTGGGACTACAGACTTATGACACCATGCCCAGCTAATTTTTGTATTTTTAGTAGAGATGGGGTTGCACCATGTTGGCCAAGATTGTCTCCATCTCAACCTCATGATCCGCCCACCTCGGCCTCCCAAAGTGCTGGGATTACAGGCGTGAGCCACTACGCCCAGCTGATAATAACATCTTTCTTATGAAAGTATTTTAACATTTATTTATAATGTATATTAAATACCTGACCCACAGCCTGGCATATGAGTCCTAATAAGGTTTTGTGTATTTGTTTATTCATTCATTGAACATTTGTTGAGTTTTTTTATGTGTCAGGTATTTCACTTATAGCTAGATCGTGGCTGAAACAGGAAGATAAGACACAGAGAAGGTTAGGCACCTGGCATTATGGATGACTTTTTTTTTTTTTTTAATATATACTCGATTTTACAAACTTTCTGCAGAAAACCTATTGGGAATTTTTTGTCAAGAGAAAAGTTGGGTTGTGGTGCATAAACATATATTTCCTAGTATCTACATTTGTAAATATATATCTACAATATCATTTTAAATCTGTTTTGTTTTCCAAGACCTACCAATGACATGAGATATCCAATGAAGTCAGAAAAAATACATGGCTTGGGATGGAGACCTAAAGTGCCTTGGAAAGAAGGAATAAAGAAAACAAGTAAGTTATCAATTAATCATTTTGGGGTCAAGTCAGGAAAATTTAAAGGAAAAATAACTTATTTCTAGAACATTATACAAACCAGTGGAATATTGTGTTGAATCATTTGTACTTTTCAGATTGCCACATTTCATGTATTTCTGGTAATAGTCCTGTGTTTCCTAAGCATCTTGAATTTTATAAACCAACTTCTGATCAATCTTCCCATATCTCATTAGCATTAATCAAACACCTATATTATTTATTCTGAGGTACATATTTTTTCACTTTCTTCACACTCCTAAAAGGTATGTCTTTTTATAATCACTAGTGTCTTATATTTATTATTGTAGCTTTTTTCTTTTTTACATGTATGTAAAATAATGATCCATCAGTGGCATCTTAGAGTTGGTGAAATAGAGCTGCAGTCTTTTTTGTATCTTGAGGCTTTTTATATTGAAACCAACAAAGGTAATACATTTAGTATGTGCAGAAAAATCTATTAAAATAAGTGCTTATAAAGTCTGTGTATATATATTAAAGCTCTGCTTAGAAATGTATTCATAAGAAAAGCTCTACCCAGATGTAAAAAAAAAAAAGTTTTGATTCAGAGCTTGAAATACAAAATACTTAAGTCAAATATTAAAAAACAAAAAATAATTTAAAACTATCAGGTTTCTTTAAACTAAAAAAGCTTTTACTGATAGTATAGCAATATAAAATAATTTAACATATTACTAGAAGAAAGGTGCTGGGCATAGTGGCTCACATCTGTAATCCCCGCACTTTGGAGACCAAAGTGGGAGGATCACTTGAGGCCAGGAGTTCAAGACCAGCCTGGGAAATATAGCACGACCCTATCTCTACAAAAAGTAAAAAAAAATCAGCAGGACATGGTGGCACATGTCTATAGTCTTAGCAATTTAGAAAGGTGAGGTAGGTGGATCTCTTGAGCCCAGGAGTTTGGGCCTATAGTGAGCTACGATCATACCACTACACTCTAGCCTGGGTGACAACGAGACCCCATTCTCTTAAAAAAAAAAAAAAAAAAAAAAGCAAGGAAGTTCACATCAACTCATTGTGACTCTGATGCAGTGTTATCATATTTATATGACCAAACACTGTATTATACTTTTTTATATAAAATAATCTTAAAATCAGAGCAGATGACTTATTTCCAACACCCCAAATTCCTTAAAATCAGAATGTCTTAAATATTTATACCAACAAGTTCAGTATTGAATGACTTTTGAAGTTAAAAAGAAAAAAAATCATTGATTTTTAATTATAAATTTTTTAGGTGATTTAAATGTCTTCTGATTGACTTAATTGTTAAGTTCAAAATCAAATTGTTTACATCATTAGGCAGCCCTTGTCTGCTGCTTAGCTGATGGGCAAGACTTAGCTAGCAGGAACTCAGTAAATGTTGGTTAACTGATGTTGAGTTTTTTTCTTTTTTTGTCTTTTGTTTTTTCCTATTAGTTGAATGGTACAGAGAGAATTTTCACAACTGGAAGAATGCAGAAAAGGCATTAGAACCCTTTCCGGTATAATCACCATTTATATAGTCAAGACAGTTGTCAAAGAAAAAAATTATCCTACCTCTACAAGTGGTATGAAATTAAGTGACCAAATGAAGTGCTCTCTTTTCATTTGAAATTAGATTCATGACTTTTTGTATAATATTCAAATGCAGAATGCCTCAGTCTTTGGGAGAGTTTCAGTACTGGCATAGAATTTAAATGTCAGAATTCTTTCTGAAACCCTTTCTCCTGGAAACTAGGAAATAATAGGGGTAGAAGACTCCCCACGGGTAGCCAGGAAGAAGTCTCCTGGTTCTGACAACTATGAGGGGTAATGGTGCTAGGCAGATGGCAACCTTCACTGGTTTTGAGCTCAGTCAGCTTCCCAGCCTTTCCCAGTGTCTAAGAAAGTCTCTGAAATGTTCGTTTTTAGGCAATATAGGATGAGTCTTATGTCCTAATTCACCTTTTCTTTTTTTAAGATCTGATATACTATCATTGCCTTAGTAATGGAACAAAATAAAAGCATATCTAGCACTTTTTAACTTTTGATAATTTTGTAAAATTGATTACGTTGAATGCTTTTTAAGATGTAAAGTTTTTATATTTTCACAATTAACCTATGTAAAACCTTGTATCAGAAATTTATCATGTATTTACTGTTTAAAATTATTTTATTTATAAAATTGTCAATATCTTAATGTATTTAATGTAGAATATTGCTTTTTAAAATAATATGTTTTTATTTTGCTGTAGAAAAATTAAAAAAAAATTTGATTATGTATTTTTAATCCTTCTTTGCCCTAAAGACTTTAAGATGACTTGAAAAAGTAACTGATTGGCTATTGGGTTGAGAAAGGGAAAATAAGCTGGGTGACCCTCTATTAAGGGTGCAGATTTTGGTATGGAGGTGTCATAATTCCTCATTAGAAAGTCTTACACTTTAAAAATACCCTTAAATACCAGCTTCCCACTGTGCTTAGGGATCCCCAAGTCCATCCCTCTTCAGTTTCTCCAATTTCACCTTTCAGGAGAGAAAGAGAGGGAAGACAAGTGTGTCAGTTGAGTTTTGCAGGAAGCAAATGCTAAGAGAAAGTAATGACTATAATGATAAAAGAGGAAGGAAGCAAAAATTGGGCAGGCTGTGCAGGCAGAAAGGCAAACCCATGCGGAGAAAATGTCTATTGTGAGAATCAGCTATTGGCCCTTTCACAGTGGAAAGGGCCCAATGGAGCTCATGTCCCACCAGGTAGCTGGTGGGTTTCCTTGAAGAATAGTGCCACATTGGGGGCTCAGTATTTGTCTCTATTGCCAGCAAGTTGGATATTCACAGGTGGCAATAGCTGCATTGGCCGTGGTAAGTGAGAATTCATGCTGTGGGTCCCAAGAGTAGGGACCATCTGTACAGTGAGGCCTGTTCCATTCAGGTGCCCATCATGGTAGTTCTGGGGTGGCTGATGATGAAAGCTGGCTAAAGTTAACTGACCAAGTCATTTTATCTACTGGGTGGTTCAGTGCCTCTTGCTATGGTGGTTGCTTTCTAGTGAGTGTTAACACGGAATACACAGATCTTCACACTCGCCACCCTCTCCCATAGATAGGCCTATCCATGTTTCTCCAGCCTTTACTTCCTTGTTTCCTGCTCCTCTAGACTTTTTCCTTCTAAGTCCCAAAGTAGCTAGCCAGGCTGCTGCTCATGACTAAACGGATATTCTCACCACAGGTCACTACCGTACATAGTGCATGAGCAGGTATACTACTCAAAGCTTTTTTCTTGGAAAGGTTTTCTTTTTCCATATTCTTTTGATAGCCACCCCTGCATGGCTTTCAGGCAACCACCCTCCAGTTTTGGCTCGCGTGCACATAACAGGCCAATCCATCTGTAAACCAAGATCAGCTTTTCTTCTCCTTTCAGTTGGTTGTATGGGACCCTCTGTATGGCCACAGGTATAAAGAACTAAGGTGGTGACATGGGAGTCTGGCCTACCTGCTCTTACAACTTACTTGTGCTCTCCCGTTCTGCTCATGCTTGATCCCAGATATGCCGTTTCCATCTTCCAGTGGACTGCTGCTGGCTCCACCTGACTCTGAGTGGGTGGGCACATTACTCTGCTGGAACTGCCGTAACAGAATATCAGAGACTGGGTAGCTTCTACAACGGAAATTAATTTTCTCACAGATCTGGAAGCTAGAAGTCCAAGGTCAGGATCAAGGTGTTGGCAGGGTTGGTTTCTTCTGAGGCCTCTCTTGGCTTACAGATGGCCATCATCTGTCCTCACACGATCTTTACTCTGTGACTAAATTTTTTCTTCTTATAAGGACACCAGTCATAATGGATTAGGGTGTGTTTTAAAGATCTCATTTTAACATACCTCTTTAAATACTTTGTTTCCACGTATAGTCACTTTCTGAGGTACCAGGGGTTAGTACTTCAACATAAGAATTTGGGGGAGACACATTTCAGCCCTTAACAGTGGGTCCAAGTGCACTTAGCACATATGGGCAGTTCTAGATGCATGGTCATTTGGGGTCCTATGGTCAAGCATTCTGGGTCTACCATGGCACAGTAATTTATTTTACAAAGGAATGATTCTCCACTGAGCCTGAAATGGTCTTTCCCAGGTGTAACCATGGGACCTGCACAGTTATTCTCCACTGGGGCTCACCATAAAACCCACACTACATCTGTCTCTACCACTGACACCACCAGCACCATAGGCTTTACCACATCATATAGCCCAAGTGACAGGAATGCTTGCACCCCAGCTTGGACCTGCTGCAGACCACTTTCCCGCCCCAGACCCCTCAAAGCTGGCAGCCTTTTCTGTCGTTCAGTACATAAGTTGGAGCAGTACCCCTAAGTGTGGAATGTCTTCCCTCCAGAACCCAAAGCCAGGCTCTGTGTTTCCTTCTTTGAGAAAGGGGATATAAGATAAAGCAGTTTGACTTCAACTTGGAGGGAATGTCCTGGCACACCTTGATTGTTTGACTCCTAAAAACGTGACTGAAATCACAAGTCCTTGATCTTCATCAGGTTTTATCTCCCATCTTCTGGCCATCAGGGTGCCAGCCACCTTTGCTCATTCTGCCTGATCAGCATGACGCCATCAATGTGATAGATCAGTGTGACATTCTACAGGATGTTCAGGAGACCTGAGTCTCTTAGGAGAGCAGAACTTACATAGCCCTAAGGTGATACTGCAAATGCTCCCGGTTTCTGATCGTTCATGATTGAGATGGAAAAGAACACATTCAGCAAATCAGTGTCTGGATACTATGTTCCAGAGGCCTTCTAATCCACTTCAGCCAAGAAGATGCCACTTGAGCACAGTGGCTGGTATGTAAGTTTGCCATCGGAACCTGGTATATAAGTTTGGATATTTGTCCCCGCCCAAATCTCATGTTGAATTGTAATCCCTAGTGCTGCAGATGGGGCCTGGTGGGAGGTGTTTGGGTCGTGGAGGAGAACCCCTCATGCTTGACATTGTCTTCGAGATAGTAAGTCCTTGTGAGATCTGGTTGTTTAAAAGTGTGTGACACCTACTCCCACCCCCCACCCCCTACCCCCCACCACTGCCTCTCTCTCTTGCTCCTGCTTTTACTGTGTAATGTGCCTGCTCCCAATTTGCCTTCTGCCACGGGTAAAAGCTCCCTGAGGCCTCCCCAGAAGCCAAGGGATGTCAGCACCATGATTGTACAGCCTGCAGAACTGTGAGCCAATTAAACCTCTTTTCTTGTAAATTACCCGGTCACAGGTATCTCTTTACAGCAGAGCCGCTCCTTAATTGAGCTGGCCTTGATTGCAGTAATTCACCAGAATCTACTCAGTTCCAGCAGTGGCCAGATTGGTGAATTAAATGGAGCTTTGGTGGGGGCCTCTCTGTATCCTTGAGATCTTCAAGGGTGGCATCATCTTCACCTCCTCCAAGGTGTGATTTTGTGTTTTAAATTGAGATGGCGGGGGTTGGTGGGGAGTCTCACTGTGTTGCCCAGGCTGGTCTCGAACTCCGGGACCCAAGTGGTCCTCCTGCCTCAGCCTTGATTCTAAAGTGTTGGGTCATGGGGGTGAATCCCTCATGGCTTCTTGACACTGTCTTCGTGATAGTTCTCATGTGATCACTGCTCCCAGCTGTGATTTTGGTTTTGATTGACTATCTCAGCCAGGGCAGTGGCCCAGCTGAGGCAGGTTTGTTACGTTTGCTTCAGCCAAGATTAGGGCGCTGGTTGGGAAAATCTAGGACTCTGACACAAGGATGAGATTGTCCGAGTGGATTCCTTTAAAGACCTCTGCAGCTTTTAAACTATTAAATCCTGAGTTTGGTCTTGGGCTTCTTCTGTTCTCCCACCTCATGATAAGGCCCTCACACTTAGTTGTCACTTATTTCTTGTTCTCAGCTTTTCATTACCTGTCTGGAGGGCATCAATACAACTTATTAAAGACCAGCAATTCCACTGCCCTTGTAAGACTTGTTCTCCTGAGCTTTTCAAGTGCCTGGATTATTGCAGTAAGCAGGGCAGGGTGGTCCCCTTCCCAGGAACATTCCCCCGAGTCACCACTATGAAAGTTTTAGCAACTACATCACTACCTTATGCTAGGGATTATTTATGTCCCTGCCTCACCCAGGATGGTATTCTTATGACCAGCCAGGCAGAAAGTGATCCAGTCTAAACCCATCTTATCAACTGTTTTGTTAGACCGCTCTTAGAAGTGACTGTGTCGTTTGGGTCCTCTGGGAAGTAGGGCTGAGGCCAAATTAGAGGTGCTAGCAGTTTATTAATAGGATGGGGAGTTAATGCTTGTGAAAGATACAAAAGAAGAAGAAATCTTCAGGCTGCAGCGTAGATCAGACAGCTATGTTTTAAAGGATATCAGACAGCTGTGAAAAGGAAGGGGTGAGGAAGAGGGTTGGCAGAGTGAGCCTCAGAATCTCTACCAGCTCAACAGGGATCTGCAGAGCAAAATCTGAAAAAAAGTCCCACCTGGGCAGAAATGACTGGGTTACCTGTTGTGCTCAGCCATTGGCCAGGGGCTACTTAGAAACGGCCAGGTGGATCCTGAAGGCATTGCAAGTGGAAGCTGCTGGCTAACTTCACTCTTGCCAGCTGAATGGCAAGCTTTTTCTTAAAGGGAAATCCAGACGGTAGACCTTGATAATTGCCATTTGTAGGGAAGGACGGGGTCTTGGAGTTTAATTGCTCTCTATACAGACTTTCAGCCAAACCACTTGGTTTTGTTTGTTTGTGAGACAGAGAGTCTCACTTATCACCCAGGCTGGAGGGCAGTGATGCAATCTTGGCTCACCGCAACCTCTGCCTCCCGGGTTCTCTTGCCTCAGCCTCCCAAGTAGCTGGCACTACAGGCATGTGCCACCACGCCCAGCTAATTTTTTGTATTTTTAGTAGAGATGGGGGTTTCACTGTGTTAGCCAGGATGCTCTCGATCTCTTGACCTCGTGATCCGCCCACCTCCCAAAGTGCTGAGATTACAGGCATGAGCCATCGCGCCTGGCCACACCACTTGCTTTTTATCCAATGCTTTACCCTCCCCTACCTCCCATACCTCCGCCTTCCATTGCCCCGGTTGCTGCTGGGTTCTGTGAGGTCAGCTCACCCAATCTGGAGGTTCCTAGAAGGCTCACTGGAGATGACATTTGACCTGTGACTTATTGAATGGGAGTTAGTGAGGAAACCGAGGATGATTCCAGGCAGAGGGATCATCAGAGTGAAAGCACGAAGTTTTAAATGGTGCTGTGTGTTCAGGGAACAACAGGCCGTCAGTTTTAC